TATTTATTATTACCAGTGAAACCAATATAACATCTCAACATTCACAAATATACATTTCTGACATTCAAAAACAAAACAAAAACAAATCAGTGACCAATATAGCCACCTTTCTTTGCAAGGACACTCAAAAGCCTGCCATCCATGGATTCTGTAAGTGTTTTGATCTGTTCACCATCAACATTGCGTGCAGCAGCAACCACAGCCTCCCAGACACTGTTCAGAGAGGTGTACTGTTTTCCCTCCTTGTAAATCTCACATTTGATGATGGACCACAGGTTCTCAATGGGGTTCAGATCAGGTGAACAAGGAGGCCATGTCATTAGATTTTCTTCTTTTATACCCTTTCTTGCCAGCCACGCTGTGGAGTACTTGGACGCGTGTGATGGAGCATTGTCCTGCATGAAAATCATGTTTTTCTTGAAGGATGCAGACTTCTTCCTGTACCACTGCTTGAAGAAGGTGTCTTCCAGGAACTGGCAGTAGGACTGGGAGTTGAGCTTGACTCCATCCTCAACCCGAAAAGGCCCCACAAGCTCATCTTTGATGATACCAGCCCAAACCAGTACTCCACCTCCACCTTGCTGGCGTCTGAGTCGGACTGGAGCTCTCTGCCCTTTACCAATCCAGCCACGGGCCCATCCATCTGGCCCATCAAGACTCACTCTCATTTCATCAGTCCATAAAACCTTAGAATAATCAGTCTTGAGATATTTCTTGGCCCAGTCTTGACGTTTCAGCTTGTGTGTCTTGTTCAGTGGTGGTCGTCTTTCAGCCTTTCTTACCTTGGCCATGTCTCTGAGTATTGCACACCTTGTGCTTTTGGGCACTCCAGTGATGTTGCAGCTCTGAAATATGGCCAAACTGGTGGCAAGTGGCATCGTGGCAGCTGCACGCTTGACTTTTCTCAGTTCATGGGCAGTTATTTTGCGCCTTGGTTTTTCCACACGCTTCTTGCGACCCTGTTGACTATTTTGAATGAAATGCTTGATTGTTCGATGATCACGCTTCAGAAGCTTTGCAATTTTAAGAGTGCTGCATCCCTCTGCAAGATATCTCACTATTTTTGACTTTTCTGAGCCTGTCAAGTCCTTCTTTTGACCCATTTTGCCAAAGGAAAGGAAGTTGCCTAATAATTATGCACACCTGATATAGGGTGTTGATGTCATTAGACCACACCCCTTCTCATTACAGAGATGCACATCACCTAATATGCTTAATTGGTAGTAGGCTTTCGAGCCTATACAGCTTGGAGTAAGACAACATGCATAAAGAGGATGATGTGGTCAAAATACTCATTTGCCTAATAATTCTGCACTCCCTGTATGTATAATTACAATAATAAATAAAATAATAAAATAAATAAATAAAATATTGAAACAAAATTTTATATAAATTATATATTCATATGTAATTTCATTCTAACTGTATTTTGTTATTAATATATATATATATATATATATATATATATATATTGGTAACAAAATACACTTAAAATGACATTCTATAGCTATCTATATATAAAATACAATAACCGCAAATATATATATATAAATACATATAATTACATAAAAGATTACATTAGTATACACGTAGAATTTAAATACCTATAAATGCATATGTATTAAAATTCTACATGTATATTTAAGTAATCTTTTAACATAATTATGTGAGAGAGAACTTGCTGGCATTTCGGATCTGGACTGCCCGTATCCAGTCTAATATGCTTCAGATATGTTCTGTCTGTAATGGCACAAGATGAGCTAAAACCAGCTTGAGTTCTGAGCGGGGACCCACCGAAGGGCAGGCTATTTCAGCTGCTGTCCGTTCTTAGAATACTCTTGCGACCTGTTTTTTGCTCAACATAATTATGTGATTTGATTAATTAAAATATGATTGAGATGCCTGACAACACAGGGAGAAAGTGCAGAGAATTTAATTTGCTAGCACTATATCTGACCCTGTAACTCTCCAAGACACCATAAAACCTGTACATAGAGGGTACTGTTTTACTCGGGAGACTTCGCTGAACTCAAATATTAGTGTTTAAAACTAGTAAATTGTATTACAATGATCATATTTTAAGTAAAAGTGAAGTTTTTTGCATTTTCTACAAACGAACGGCACTTTTATGGACTATATTATTGTTGTAATATGTTTTACTGTTTTAAAACACTAATATTTGTGTTCAGTGAAGTCTCCCGAGAATAACAGTACCCCCCATGTACAGGTTTTAGGGTGTTTTGGAAAGTTAGAGAGTCACATATAAGGCTTGCATTTAAATTTTTGATTGATTGGTTATGTTGCCTTTGAGAGCGTATGGTAGCCCAGGAATGAGAATTACCCCCATGATGGCATACCATTTGCAAAAGTAGACAACCCAATGTATTGCAAGTGGGGTATGTCCAGTCTTTCTTAGTAGCCACTTAGTCACAAACACTCGCCAAATATTAGTTTTTTGCTTTTTTCACACAAAAACAAATATGAATGCTAACTTTGGCCAGTGTTTGTGACTAAGTGGCTACTAAAAAAGACTAAACATACCCCATTTTCAATACCTTGGGTTGTCTACTTTTTCAAATGGTATGCCATTATGGGGGTAATTCTCATTCCTGGGCTACCACACCATCTCAAAGGTAACATTACTAATCTGGCAAATTTCAATTTAAAAATGGGACGTTCTATATTTGACCCTGTAACTTTCCAAAACATAAGACCTGTTAATGGGGGGGTACTGTTGTACTCGTGAGACATTGCTGATTACAAATATGTACAGTTGTTTTTGCAGTAAAACCTAACAGTATTATGACATTCACAGCTAAAATGTCAGACGGATATACTAATTAAAAAAAATAAATCTTATTTTCTCACATTTTTTTTAAATTTTATTAATAATAAATTATGTTCCATATATGAATAGTTAATGATAAATTAAAGCTCTGTTTCTCCTGAACAAAATGATATATAATAAGTGTGGGTGCATTTAATGTGACAGCGGTGAATTACGGTTGAACAGACATATAGCGCAAATTCCAGTTTTTGTTTACGTTTTTGTTTTGATCAGAATGTGCACTATTGACTCCGTGCTGAAGGGGTTAAAGAGGAAACCCATTCTACAGACACAATAAGAACAAGTTTAAAACAACAATCTAGCTTTTATCCATCGAGTTTTAAATCTGGACCTCTACAGGTCTTTAAAAAACTAGTGACCAAAGATATGGAAAATATTAAAACTACCAAATATGATAATCAAAATTTTCAAAAAAAGAAATAGAAGTGATAAAAAACTACAGAATGATCAAGCATGAACAAGAACCTGGTCCCGTGTCATGATCTTTTTTTTGTTTATCTGATGTATAAGATCTTAAGATGTTTAGGATTTTCTTATTGTAATGACTAATAATCATTTTAACTTAACTTATCGATTAACATTTTGGCGTATAGCTCAGCTCCCTGCAGTCCATGGAATGGCTATTTAAAAAATATTACAATTAATTTTTTTTTTATTTTACCACTACTCTTAGGTTTGCCGTGACTGGTTTTTACTGGCACAGATTTGAACTGCCTGGCCATGTATTGCAGTTTGGCAGCACTCCAAGGTATGGTGTTTGCTCCTCGTCCCCACTACAGGAAAGAGGAAGTGAGTCTCAAATGTTTATTCCTGAAGTAGACCTGTATGGTTTATAAAGGTCACACACACCCCCACCTCAATGCAGTATGTGTGTATTCAGCAGTGTGTGTGTGTGCGTGTATTCAGCTCTGTGTGTGTATTCTGTGTGTGTGTGTACTGAGCAGTCTGTGTGTGTGTATTCAGTGTGTGTGTGTATTCAGCAGTGTGTGTGTGTGTGTATTCAGCAGTGTGTGTGTGTGTATTCAGCAGTGTGTGTGTGTGTATTCGGCAGTGTGTGTGTGTGTGTACTCGGCAGTGTGTGTGTGTGTGTGTGTACTCGGCAGTCTGTGTGTGTGTATTCAGCAGTGTGTGTACTCAGCAATCTGTGTGTGTGTCTACTCAGCAATCTGTGTGTGTGTGTACTCAGCAGTCTATGTATTCAGCAGTCTTGTGTGTGTATGTATTGCATTTGTTGGAGATACTAATAAATATAAGCTTAATTTTATCTATTTATATCATTATTTAAAATTTGTATCATTGAACTCTGTGTTCTTTTAAAACAAAAGTTATTAGTTCGGACAACAGTACGAGTTGTTTTTTTCTAAACTTAAACCTCAGTATTTGGGTTTAATTGCCGTGTTGGCACTTTAAGGAGAAAAAATGTTGGCATGTATTGCAGTTTGGGCACTCGGGCTCAAAAAGGTTCGCCATCACTGCAATAGGGTGAGGAACACAAATGTATTCCTGACCCTATAGTCTTAAAACCACCATCCAACCCTTCTCTTGCCCCCCTAAATATAGTAAAATCTGACTTTTCTTGTCTGACATCAGAAGTAACTATGCTTTCCCAGGGGCAGAGCCAGCACAAGTCAAACACAGCCCTGGCCAATCAGCATCTCTTCATAGAGATGCATTGAATCAATGCATCTCTGTGAGAAAAGTTCAGTGTCTGCATGCAAATGGTGGAGACACTGGCTGTGCTGCACACTAGTGCAGCGCTGCCACAGGAAGCACCTTTACTAGTCATTTGAGGAGTGGCCAGTGGAATTATCAGAATTTAGTAGCCTTGAACACTATATCCATTTGCATTCTGCACAGTGAAAAGACTGTTTTTACAGCACAAAAGCCTAAAGGGAATGATTCTACTAACCTAGGAATCCAAATGCAATAAGCTGTAGTTGTTCTTGCAACTGTAGTGTCCCTAGTTAAGCACCGGGTATTCCATCTTATTGTAAAGCCTTCAAGTGCAAGTATTTTTGGTTTTTTTCTATAGTACACTGTGTGTGAAATATAACTTATATAGTATGTGTATGCCGACCATTTTTTGTTCTTGGTACTAGAATTGAACAAACAGATATGCTAATGGTTGATCTCTGTGGGACAACAGATTGCAATGGCTGCACCTCGATGTGGTTTAAGTTGCCTTATAAACACCCGAGGGTGTTTCTGTGGATCTGTACTGGTCTTCCTCCATTCTACACCTGATGATGGTGGAGAGCAGCGCACCTCCCAATATTACACAAGGACACTAGAGGGGCAGGTGAGTGTTGCCAGTATTCTGAGATACATTTAGCATAAGTACTCAAAAAGTGAAAATTTTTCTTCAGGTTGGAAACTTGGACACACCGTGGCTTTTCCACATTTATCAAGGAACCCAGATTGGAAAAACCAGCACCCAGATAAGAGACACTGGTCCTTCTAAGAACTTTTAGCCCAGCCTTTAGGTTTTTTACTTCAGAAGCGTACAGACTACTGGATACTTTGTATTTCCTGAATGTTTTACATGGATGAAACAGAATTAAGCAACAAAATCTCCTTTATTTGAAGCAGGAGAAAAAGAGAACTATGATTGCAAACCTCCTAAAAGACCATTGTTAATGAATCTGGACTAAGAAATCACTATTCCACGCTTTTTCTAGCCCCCAATAACCACAAAAGATGGAGCCTTAGATCCTGTGATGTTGAAAGAGATTGAATTCAAGAATAATTATGGGTGTTAGACATTCAAGATTGGAATACCATTTGCGACTTATTTTCCCAAACATCAGGAATGGGAGGATTGGACATGACAATGTCCCTCAATCTCTGACCAAGGCAATGCACATCACCAGATATACATAATTCACCAATTAAGGATTACAAGCTTCACATTTTTCATAGGTTCCATGCAGATTTATTTATTTTTTTTTGTTCTCTGGTTAAATCCCTTCAAGTTTCCTAGAAAGCATTTTTGAATGTTGTCATTCAATGTTTATTACCCTACATATCACTGTCAATCTGTATGTATTAGAATTCCTACATTCACATGTGCAGTTTGTATTCATTTTACCCTACATATCACTAACGGGATTGACAAGCTCTCTATGGAATTATTCCCACGCTTGTTTGGTTGTGCGAGGTGATTGGTCGTAAGTGAGCCACCTGCTCACCATGTGAAAGTTCTCTCCTGATAACACTTTATATACTAGCCCAACAACGGGTTAAAACAACCTACCAAAATTTCAAACTATCGTTCTAGAGATCACGCCTGTCTATAAATTGTATTAGTATACATATCACGCTTGTCCTGTATTGTATTATTGTACCCTACATATCACGCTTGTCAATCTGTATTGTATTATTGTATCATATCCTGTCTGTCATATTATTGTACCCTACAAATCACGCTTGTCAATCCTTATTATATTATTGTACCCTACATATCACACTTGTCTATCTGTATCTATTATTGTCTACAATCATGCATTATTTTAATTATGTACAATGTCATAAACATAGAAACATAGATGTGAGGCAGATAAATTCGGCCCCTGCATTTTCTTAAACACTAATTAGTCCCTGAATAACTTTAGCCTATGATGCAGTTTACTGTGTATTACCAAGCTGCCCCAATCCACTACCCTCTCAGTAGGAGTAATACCCATTTATATTATGTACCCTACCTGCATGTCTATGTATCATATTATTTACCCTACAAATCACGCCTGTTTATTCGTATTCTATTATTGTACCCAACAAATTCTGTGTATTAATATTATTGCCTTGATACATTTGTTGAAATATAGGAGCCAGCCATAAGTTAGGAGCCATTTTCTTTTTTAAAACAAAATGCAATTCTTAAAGGGACACTATAGTCACCTGAACAACTTTAGCTTAATGAAGCAGTTTTGGTGTATAGAACATTTTGCAGCCTCATTTTTTTCAATCCTCTGCCATTTAGGAGTTAAATCCCTGTTGTTTATGAACCCTAGTCACACCTCCCTGCAGGGGAGGTGTGGCCTGCATAAACAGAAACAACGTGATTTAACCCCTTAAGGACATAGTTGCTGTTTCCAAATGACAAGCAATAAGCATTTGCGCAACTGTTCAATAATTTATTGTACCCACATGCACGTTAATAGCTTGTATTCCCTGTTGCCTCCTACATTTAGTTTGAATATAGGATTGCCATAAGTTATTGGAGCCATTTTCTTTTTTAAAACACAAACTTATAACAAAATCTTCTCATGTGTATTTTTAAAGTTGGTTGTGACTTCCTGTACAAAAAAAATTTGTTTCACCTGTGTCATACAAACATTTGTTTTAGGTCTGTCTGTATGCATGGTATACTATGACAAATAAAGAATAAAAATAAAAAAAAAAAAAACCCCACCTATTTTGTGTTCAGTTACAAAGCTGATACCACAATACCCTTTTTAATGTCTTTAAACTTGGCATGAAGGGTATAGGAGACCTGTCCTTTCAGATTTAAGTAGAATTTTTCAGATTGTTTAAGGGGCCTATGTTTCAATGTGGGCAATTATAGCAGTTTGACTGTTCGAAAAAACCCACAAAGGCCTACCATTTGTAAAAGTAGATACTCCAGGGTATCTCATTTGGTGCATATTGTGCCTTAACATGCCACCATTTTTTCACCAATATATGTCAAAATTTGTGGTAAAAAAATTATTTGGGGCATTTTTAACATACGTATTACATTTTTGCTGGGCATTTTGTATATTTGATATGTGCTACTATGATAAAAGCCTCAAAATTACGCTCAGCTAAATCTTCTATAGTGCCAGGAAACATACTCGTTTTCCTGGCACTATAGTGCCCTGAGGGTGCCCCCACCCTCAGGGACCCCCTCCCGCCCGGCTCTGGAAAGGGGAAAGGGGTTAAACTTACCTTTTTCCAAAGCTCTCCTCCTTCTCTTCTCCTTCGTTCCGCCCCCGTCGGCTGAATGCGCACGCGCGGCAAGAGCTGCGCGCGCATTCAGCCGGTCTCATAGGAAAGCATTTACAATGCTTTCCTATGGACGCTGGCGTGCTCTCACTGTGAAAATCACAGTGAGAAGCACGCAAGCGCCTCTAGTGGCTGTCAATGAGACAGCCACTAGAGGATTAGGGGGAAGGCTTAACCCATTGATAAACATAGCAGTTTCTCTGAAACTGCTATGTTTATAAAAAAATGGGTTAACCCTAGCTGGACCTGGCACCCAGACCACTTCATTAAGCTGAAGTGGTCTGGGTGCCTATGTCCTTAATTAAGATACCTAATTATGTAAAAATATTACATAAATATATATGTAGAATTCATATATATGTGTGTGTGTGTGTGTGTATATATATATATATATATATATATATTTTTTTTTTTTTTAATTTTATTTATATATAGGTATAAATATATATCGTGATATATATATATTATTTTGTTCTACGTGTATTTTGATATAAATATATATATATTAATATCACAATACAGTTAGAACGAAATAACACACATCTATATATTTTTTAATTATTTTTAATTTTTTTTATTTTATTTTTCAACGTATTTACATATTTTTATATTATATATATATATATATATATATATATATTTAATCAGTATCAGTCTACGTGTAATTTCATATTAATATATATAATTATATATATATATATATATATTAATAGTAAAATACACCTAGACAGTAGGTGTGTGTATGTATATGTGTTTTTTTTACACTTTTAAACTTTAATTTTATTTCATTTTATTTCCAGCCAGCAGGGGGACTACCTGTCATTACAGGCAGCCCCCTTGCTGGCAATGCTGCAGCCAGCTATCCCGGCCATGTACTTTACTTACCTGGTCCCCCCAACCGTGATCGCCGGCGTGGGACCGCCGGCGACCAGGTAAGTAAAGAAAGACCGGAGGGCGTACTATTACGCCCCGCGGCGTTTAGAGACGCCTAAAATAGGGCGTAATAGTACGCCCTCCGGTCTTAAGGGGTTAACTCCTAAATGACAGTGAATTCAGCTGTGAAATTGCAGGGGAATGATCTATACACTAAAACTGCTTTATTTAGCTAAAGTAATTTAGGTGACTATAGTGTTCCTTTAAAGGGACACTATAGTCACCAGAACCACTACAGCTTAATTCGCCTGTTAATCCGTATTATGTTATTGTATCCTACAAATTGCACTTTCTTTGATTGTGGTTATTTAATGACCTGTTTAACAAGGAATCCGGATACAAGAGGGAAGTACTGTAAAGAAATATATTACCTCATATTGCAGTAAGCATGTTTTTATATCTCTGATCTCACAAACAATCTATTATCATAGGTTTTATTAAAGTACGGGAGTCCATCTCTGTCTGTAATATATAATTTAGATTCATTGATTTATCCTTTGATACTGAGCAGATAGAATAGTTTGTGATTAATTGGAAGTGCTTTAAACACAGTTTCTATAACTTTTCAGATGATTTTTGACTTCTTGCGAACGGCAGATAGATACACAGGGTATTAGGAGCTCAGAGAAAAGAGAACATTTGCGAGTGTAATGTGAGTGTGAAGTGAAATATCTCGACACAAACTGTGTGTAGAATTGGCAGTGTCTTTGCTGCAAATCTAACACTAAACTCAACCCAATTGACGTCACTCGGCCAGATAACATCTTTCCGAATTGCCTGCTGACGTTTCCTTGTCATTCAGTGGTTTTAGCCGCACTTCTGTTCTTATCTGTCAAAGTCCCTGTTTAACCCCAAACCTAGTCTAAGCATTTAACAAAACTCTTCACAGACACTTCCTGCAAAACTATTCGGAACACCCTGAATCGGCCACTTACCTGTCTGCAAGGTTTCACATTGCTGTTTGTACACTGGTTAGTGTTCAAGTGCTGATGGTTTTTAATGATCCTCTCACTACCCCCCTCCCCCTGTGCATTCCATTCTACTTGTGTGGGGCAAAGGGCTGTTAATAGCACACAATGCTCCTGCTACTTCTTGCTATTCTTTGGGCCCTCCACTGCCACCCTTATCTGTTCTGATTGACTCCGATGCATTATGTGCATTGCTCGATTATATTTTAGTCAGTGTTTCAGTAAATGCATGACTGCAAAGAAGTGTACTGCTAATGTTCACAGTAATAAAATAATTGTGTTTTTAAAGGGCTAATCTAAGCCCTATAATCATTATGTACCATTGTATTGGTTATTGTGCCATCCCAGAGTTTTGTGTCAAACCATTTTCCTACAGCCCAAACACTATTCTCCTAATTACTAATTTGGATGTCTCACTCAGCCGACTCTCTCTTCATTGCGGCCAACAGGCCAATATGAACAAAACTAGTATTGCTTATGGGGAGCTGGAACTTCCGTTCTTCATTGGCAATGAAGCAAACAAGGGGATGGCCACAGGGGCCTTGTCATCTTCAGTTTATATGATCAGGCACAAATGGCAAAAAAAGGAAAGTGTTTAATCGTTTGGTTTTGTACCACTCATTGAGATACATTGAATGAAATGTTTATAAGACTCTTGACGTTTTTCTTAATAAATGAGAATTCTTTGATTGCACCAGAACGGTCTCTTTTTGCTTTTATTTACTTCTCCAGCTAGCTGTCTGAACAGATTGGCGCAAAGAGTTTCACTGTTCAGCTGACCAAGCTATTGTCATTTAGGGCTCCCACCCTCCGCTCATGGGTGGGGGTAGGGGGATGGACAATAGGTGTCGTCCCACCATTGTCTTTTAGGGCCCCCACCTGCCGCTCATGGCTGTGGGCGGGGTACTAGTTTCCCACCTAATTGCTCATGGATTGGGGCCAAGGGGGACCCTATGTCCCCTTTTTAGTTGAATAGCCCCCACTTGCGGGGCATGGGTAGGGGCTCAGGGGGGACACTATGTCCCCCCCCCCGCTAGTTAATAGATGTCTCATTTTTTTTGACGAATGAAAGAATAGACGAAATTCCCGTCATAATTTTGGACTATCGCGAATGCCCCAGTGTTTAACTGGACATGTGCAGGAATTTCATAGCGCTATCTAGTGTGACAGATGACATGTCCCACAGGGCCTTAATTTCACACACAAATATGGCAAAACCCATGACCCAGGGTCCGGGCACAAAATAAAGATTAAAAAATATATAATATTGGGGATTTGGGGTGACTAAGGGGGGCAATTAGATGTAGTGGAGTCGGGAGGGGGGTTAAAAAAACAAAAAAAAGGATGCGGCCATGACGTGCCGTTTTAATGTAGCTCATTATAGTGTTTATGGTGGTTTAATATTTTGGCAGTGTCCTTTGGTTTAAAGTCCAACAGTTTTGGAGGGGTTTGACAAAACCCAGGGCTCTTTCATATTCTCCAAGAACCTTTGCACCGCAAAGGGAGAGCTGCACTAGCGTTGCCCAGCCCCCCCCCTCTGCAGCCTGCACTTCGCAATTCCTTCTAATATTGGATAATGAGGGGCCGTTTGCATGTTATCCAGAGCGTGTTAGGAGTCCTGTTTGTTAAAATTAGAGTGAAATGGGGGGACAGTGCCCGTAGACTCTGATCAGAATAACAAATGGACTATAATCACACACTGATCTGTAGTGTTTATGGTATTTAATGATATGTTTGTTAATTAATGTAAATCCAGATTTAAAAAAACAATTTTTTTAGAGTTTCCATTTTACGTGGTCACTGCAAATGGGCCATTAATTGTGATCTCTGCAGATTTTATTCTTTATATTGTGACGATTCTAATGGTATTATCTTTCTCTTCTTTCAGATGATTCTTTGGGATTGGGATTTAAAACAGTGGCACAAACCACAGTATCAGGTGAGACGTGACATATGCTTATCTTCAATTTGTTGTATTTCTATATTTCATGTGTTCCCAAGCCATTAGGCGCTGCATCTTTTCACATAGGGGGTTATGTGTAAAGTGTAGTGTTCACTTTAAATAGGGCAATTTTGATGGATTATTTTCGTGCAGTGTGTAAACCATTAAAACAATTTTCCCCCGGGTTCTAAGACATTAAGACACCCGAACTCTACGCTCAACCATCTTTAACCCTGTAATTACACCTAACTCTCCCATCGTTTTTTTACCATAGGGAATAGATAACGATATACATTGAATTTCAGGTTAGTTTAAAGTCTGTTTTTTTTTTTTTTTTTAACTTTTCCACTTTCCTTAGTGTTGCTTTTAATTCCTTCTATATAGGTTTACATTGGTTAATCGGCAACTTAATAGGGATGCACCAAAATGAAAATTCTGGGTCGAAACCGAAAATTCAGTATGCCCTTGGTTGAAAAACGAAACCGAAAATGACTTTTTTCCCCAAATGATTTTAGGAAAAAAGTTTTTTTCCTAAAATTTTATTATTAGACTGTTTAATGAATTTAATCTAATGTGAAAAACTTCCCTTCTCTTTTAGTGGTCCCCCCCTGCTTAATGTTCCTCTCCCCCCTCTTTTTTAGTGTTCTTTCCTCCCTCCTCCCCAGTCCCATAGTGCCCCCCCCCGCTGTGTCCCATAGTGTATTTTTCTCCCCTCTCCCCTGTCTCATAGTGTTTTTTGAATCCCTCCCCCATCCCATAGTGTTCTCCCCCCCCTGTCCCATAGTGTTCTCTCCCCCCCCTCCCCTGTCCCATGTGCAGTATTCTTGACTTTTCATGTTATCATTACTATCTTTCATTGTGATATATAATCATCTGAATTGTTAAAGCAAGCATGTCTGTTAAACTATGCACTACAAAAAAAATCTTTAAAAAAAATATATTTTTGTTGGCCGTAATTTCGGTGCATCCCTACAATTTAACTTTGAGGTTTATTTCATGTAATCCTCTTTTAAAAAAACCAAATCTACCCCCTTTTTTTTTTTTTTTGTTGAGATAATTATAATTTTTTGGAAGATCCCATGATGCATTCTCCTTTTGTTCCAGAATGCTGGAGGTGGTAATGGGGTCGATCTCTCAGTACTAAATGAAGCTCGGAACATGGTTTCTGATCTACTGGTAGATCCATCACTTTCCCCACAAGTTGTGTCTTCACTTCGGAGCATAAGCAGCTTAATGGGGGCTTTCTCAGGTTCATATAGACCAAAAGTAAATCCTTTTACACCGTTCCCTGGCTTCTATCCATGCACAGAAATGGAGGACAGTGTGGATAAAGGAGAGAGAAAGGTCCACAAGGTAAAACACAATCCTGTATTAAATGTACTACAATTTGTAAGCATGCGTTTTGTCTGAAACAGGAGAACTGGTTCAGGTTCCCATTAAAAAGGCTCAATTCTCTACAGTCATATGTGGATTGCTCTGTGAGATCCAGTGCATGTGGGATTTTTTGTTTTGTCTTTAGAATCTTGCTTTTATTCTTCTTCTGCTCTTTTTGCGTTGGTGTGTGCTAGTTGTTTACTGCTCATGCAGATACAGTACTAACAGACGGGTAATTCTCTAAAATCTAAATGGCAAAACCATCCTGCTGTGCATACAGGGTCATTTGTACTGCAAAAATCCAGACATTCTGACATTGTTGAATAATGTGAGCAATCTTGTAATTCAGACCCCCGAATGAGCCTTAATTTGGTCCTGATCTCAGCCAGACCAATTGTTGCCAGGTGGCAGAAATCCGGACTTGGATGCTTCAAATCCAGGCCCAGATTTAAAAAATAAAATCCAAACTAATTGTCTGCTAGCAGCGGTAGTAGTCAGCGGCAAGTAGGTAAAACCTTTTGGCAGCACGTGGGTTAATTATGTGGTGCTTGCCAGTGCTTGCAAGCTGGTCACCACATTAAATAGTTAATTTTTTTAAAGTTTTATTATTATTATTAATAATAATAATGATAATAGGCCTATGGGGGTTAATAAGACCTCCATATTACTATAAGGGAGTTTAAAATTCCATATGCCTCTATCTCGACTGGGCAGCTGTTCCCAGCTGTTCCCCCAGCTTCAGGCAACAAGTGGGGACAGTAAAATAAATTATGATCACTGCTTGCCATCCTTAAGTTCCCCCTGTGTCCGCACACATGGTCAGTGGCAGGGTGCGATTAATTTAAATGGGTCAGGGGTGGATATAGTATCCCCCCCAGAGCAACCATGCATGGGTGGCGGGTACTGGCTATTATAGTATAACTGGGGTGGGGGGACCTTGTTTCCCCCACCCATTATCGGCAGGTTTCTAAATAATAAAACGGGGAGTGAGAGAGTGGACAATGGAATTTCATAATAATAGCATGTACACTCCAATTCACCTCCTCATTAAAATTAAAAAAAAATATATTAATGGGGGATGGGTCAATAAAACCTGTAATAGAAACCATTCTAGAACTCATCTTTCCTCTGCTCCAAAAAAAGCCAGATTAGAGCACTGGAAACTTGGCTGTTAGAGCGCTCTTAGTGATTCCATTTCACAGTGGAAATTTTCCCATGTAATAGTAGACATAGTGTGGGTAAGCCTGCGGCTAGCCCTCGTATGGCAAAGATGGATTCATTTTAGTTTGTCATGTTTTTTTATTTTATTTATTTATTTTTTTAAAGGAACACTATAGTCACCTAAATTACTTTAGCTAAATAAAGCAGGTTTGGTGTATAGATCATTCCCCTGCAATTTCACTGCTCAATTCACTGTCATTTAGGAGTTAAATCACTTTGTTTCTGTTTATGCAGCCCTAGCCACACCTCCCCTGGCTATGATTGACAGAGCCTGCATGAAAAAAAACTGGTTTCACTTTCAAACAGATGTAATTTACCTTAAATAATTGTATCTCAATCTCTAAATTGAACTTTAATCACATACAGGAGGCTCTTGCAGGGTCTAGCAAGCTATTAACATAGCAGGGGATAAAAAAAAATCTTAATTAAACAGAACTTGCAATAAAGAAAGCCTAAATAGGGCTCTCTTTACAGGAAGTGTTTATGGAAGGCTGTGCAAGTCACATGCAGTGAGGTGTGACTAGGGTTCATAAACAAAGGGATTTAACTCCTAAATGGCAGAGGATTGAGCAGTGAGGCTGCAGGGGCATGTTCTATACAGCAAAACTGCTTCATTAAGCTAAAGTTGTTCAGGTGACTATAGTGTCCCTTTAACCTTTAGAGGCCCCCATTCATCTCTTGGCTGGGGTGGAGAGCACTAGATCCTCCACCCTGAATAATATCAGGGGCCCTACCTCATGCCAGTGACAAGGGGCTGGGGAGACATTCCTTGTAATGGCTGCCCAGTCACTAGTTTTAAATGTTTATTAGATTTGCCCGTACCTCCTGCATTTCAGGTTGTGGCATAGGAAGGTTTTATAGTAACATGTGGGTTTTGTTGGGCCCCGTAGTGTTTTTTTTTTAAACCTTTTTTGATGTGACAGCTGACTATTAAGTGCTGGCTATCTGCCATAATGAACCCTTCCATTGTCAAGGGTTTTTGGCTAATTGCCCACTGGCTGCTAAAACTGCCAGTAGGCAAATAGTTCTTCAAATTATCATTTGATTAAATGAAAGCAAGTGAATGATTATTTGCGAATGAGCATCCTGCCATCTGCATTCAGTCCCCATATTTTTGTTAAACCAGTGCTTTGTGAATATCCCGAATACTATACTTTTTAAGAGTTTCAGCTGTATTTTGCTTAAGTAAACATGAGTTGCCATTGCGATCAGAATTCAGTCATTTTTACTGGATGTACAAAATCAGGACTATAGAGAATAACCCAGTATGATTCAAAAACATAGTTTTATTTTTACCACCCTTATAATGACTTCCCTCGTCTCCTCTCAACAGGGACTGAACAGCCGTAGCAGCCTGCCAACTCCACAACTCCGGCGAAGCTCAGGAATCTCTGGCATGCCACCCATGGAACTTGCCACTTCTCGGTGGGAACGGAATAATGGAAAACGTCCTTACCAGGATTACAGCAGTTCAAGGTGAGGCCCCTGAGATGTTTGTATTGCTATTTGAAACAGAACATGGTGTGTTAGAAGTGTATTATGTGCACATTTTAGGAATGGGACCTGGGGTATTTATAGGTCTCCCTCATCACATGTCTTTCATCATACGTATGAAGCTACTCATTGACACACAGAAGACTCTTTAGAGTCAAAAATGTCTCTGTAATGTGTTTTCATAAAAAGATGATTCAAGGCAGTACAGGGAATGTAGTTATGCTGAGCTCCAGAATTGCTGAAGTGATTTGCAAAGCCTTCTTCATGTAATGCAGTGTATGTACCAGCAGATGGCAACCTAAAACAATTTTTTTGCTTGATAAGCCAATTACTAGTATATTAAACCCATAGACCACGTTACCTAAACTTTAAATCAGCCACGTTTCCATACTTGTTATTTAAATGAAGCATGACTAACGTCCATACAATTTTATTAATGTCACACACTGAAATTTAAATCCTTCTAAAAACAACATTTCTGAGTACTTTTTTTTTTCTTTTTTTTTGTTGTTGCAATCTTTCTGTAAATTACTTTAATTGAACAAAACCCTCTATGTTACATAGAAACATAGAAACATGTTGGTGAATGCCATGTGATGTTTGGAGTTTTTCCTCTGAATAATGTGTATTGAGATATAGCCACTCTAACCCAAGGTTGTTATAGGATCCTTCAACTTTCTCAGCCATTACAGCTGCCATAATTTTGGCCAGCCGTGGTTGAGGATGACAGGGATTTTCATACGGTCAAAGTCCTGGAAGGTGACCCATTTGCAGATTAATACAATTTATACACCTTCTTCCTTTATTTTGGTTTTGTAGCCAAGGATCTTATCCAAACGGGTCTTTCAGTTCAAACCTGCTTACAATACCAAAGCAAAGGTCTTCGTCTGTGACACTGACTCACCACGTCGGGCCAAGGAGAGCTGGTAAATAATATCCAATAAACGTATATATATGTGTTAAGTGCTGGACAGCAGTCCATGGGTAGTTAAAGTGAATAAGTCACCACACCGTAAATGATCCCCTTAGTTTTTACCTGTTTACTATTACTTTGAATAGATGTAAGCCATCAAAGATTTTCTGAATCTTTGAGGAAAAAAAAAAAAAAGACTCTAAATTCTAGTGCTAGCGCTAAAAATGGAACAACTAGGTGTTACAATCGTTATTTAGAGGATGCTTCCTGGTTCAGTGCAATTTCAAATTTTACATCTTATAACCCATATAATGTCATGTAGCCTTTAACTACCTTTAACAGGAAACTTGTACAGTAATTGTATTTTCATTTTGTATGTGATGTAGCTATTGTGATCTATTGATAAACTAAAGCCAGGGATAGGCAACCTCTGGCACTCTAGATGTTGTGGACTACATCCCCCATAATGCTCTTACACCCATAATGCTGACAAAGCATCATGGGAGGTGTAGTCCAAAACATCTGGAGTGCCGAAGGTTGCCTATGCCTGAACTAAACTAACTATATATTCTAAAAATAATACATTCCTATCTATTTTGGTGATTGTAATTTTGTTTGTACAAACTTAGACCATTTGGCTTTTTTTACTTTTAATTTTTTTCATTTATTTGTACTTTTTATCTTGGAATTTACAGTTGTTTTTAATATTTCCAGCAAAATAGTTTACATTTGAAAATGTGACTAAGGCAAGATTCGAGCACACATTTAACAGATTATCTAGATTCATACAGAGAAAGAAATGTTCCAATCTTAAATTAGTGGTCAGAAATTTTTCTAATTATCGTAATTTCGTAATTTCTCATTCTGGGTGCTCAGATGTTTAGGCTAATAATCTTGCAGCCAATATTTAATTCCTAAAAGCAATTAAAGCTTGCTGTAAACGAGCAGTACTGACCTTTCATGAGTAACTCTCAATGTGGCCATCATAACTTGTGTTCCTTTAGGCTGAATCGGTGTCATTCATTGCAAGGCTATGTCAACTTATAGTGCATTTTACATGTGAACTCACTAACCTCAGCTGCCGGTTACATCCTATCTGTTCCCCAATATCTAGTGTGAATGGTGACAGTGATCTCACTAAGCTCAGCTGACTGGTACATCCTTCGGTTCTACAATATCCAGTATGAATGATGACCGTTACCTCACTGAGCTCAGCTAGTGGATACATCCTATCTGTTCCCCAATATCCAGTGTGAATATTAAGTGTTCTTGCATAGCAAGACCACTTAATGTTATCTCACATATATATTATTAAGTGTTCTTGCATAGCAAGACCACTTATTGTTATCTCACATATATATTATTATTAAGTGTTCTTGCATAGCAAGGCCACTTATTGTTATCTCACATATATAATTCTTATTCTTATTATAGCCAAATTTGCCACCCTAACTCCTCCCACAGTTTTTACACTACATAGACAAAAATTTACCAAAACATGCAGATTGTTCCCAATCGGATTGCTATTACTTTGTGGAACGTTTCGCTGAATGGTTCACGGAATATCGTCATTCTTGTGGCGCAATTTGTCCCATAGGAATGAATGGCAAAGCTAGAGTGGGAGCTGGCAAAAGCTGAAAAATCAGGACATGATTTCTAAACTGCCACCACTCCCTTATTTTCAGGCCCACCTACACAAATCTTATATCAAAACGTTCAGCTATCCCTGCTGCCACTAAACATGTCAACGGCTAAGCCATAGTCCTGATAGTTTTCACAATATAATCATTTGTTTGCAACTAACGCCGTCCATTGACATTCATTGAAACTTCACTCTACAAAGCTCATATTTGAAGTGCAATTTCTAAACTGCGACTGTGCCTTCATTTTTAATACTTCAGAGAAATACTATGCAAAATGTAGGTCTGGGTCTTGTGATTCTCACAATATAAAGCTCTTCGCTGTAGGATTTATAGTTTTTAAAATACGACCGTTTGAATATGGCAACCGCCAAAATACTCTGCAGCAGCAAGTGATGTCATAGACAGGGCCTTTTGAACACCTGCTAATGTTTTTATAAATGTATGGTTTAATGTAACTGTGCAACAATGTTGCAATTAAATGTGCTATATAAATGATAACAGTTACTCCGCCCACTCCAGTTGTAGACTACTGGTGGAGGCAAGAACACTTCACACAATTTCCCCAGAAATTGTAGCTTTTCTAGTTATTATTATTATTATTTATATATATATATATATATATATATATATATATATATATATGTATGTATGTATGTATGAATGGTGACCGTGACCTCACTGAGCTCAGCTGGCAGTACATCCTATCTGTTCTCAGATATCCAGTGTGAATGATGACCAAACCTCACTGAGTTCAGCTGGCGGGTACATCCTATCTGTTCTCCGATATCCAGTGTGAATGATGACCGTGATCTCACTAAACTCAGCTGGCGGGTACATCCTATCTGTTCCCCAATATCCAGTGTGAATATTATTATTATTTATATATGTGAATGGTGATCGTTACCTCACTGAGCTCAGCTGGCAGTACATCCTATATGTTCTCCGATATCCAGTGTGAATCATGAGTGTGATCTCACTGAACTCAGCTGGCGGGTACATCCTATCTGTTCTCCGATATCCAGTGTGAATGGTGACAGTGACCTCACTGAGCTCAGCTGACTGCTACATCCTTCGGTTCTACAATATCCAGTATGAATGGTGTCCGTGACCTCACTGAGCTTAGCTGGCGGGTACATCCTATCTGTTCCCCAATATCCAGTGTGAATGGTGACCGTGAGCTCACTGAGCTCAGCTGATGGGTATATCCCTCGGTTCTACAATATCCAGTATGAATGGTGTCCGTGACCTCACGTAGCTCAGCTGGCGGGTACATCCTATCTGTTCCCCAATATCCAGTGTGAATATTATTATTTATATATATGAATGGTGACCGTGACCTCACTGAGCTCAGCTGGCAGTACATCCTATCTGTTCTCCGATATCCAGTGTGAATGGTGACAGTGACCTAACTGAGCTCAGCTGATGGGTACATCCTATCGGTTCTACAATATCTAGTGTGAATGACGACCGTTGAGCTCAGCTGGCGGGTAATTCCTATCTGTTCCCTGATATCCAGTGTGAATGGTGACCTGTCTTGCCTTTTTGTATGTTGTTTTAAATTAAGATCCTTCCTCCAAGCTGCATAAAACCACTCTCTCTTTTTTGATTTTAGGTACTTCTCCTAGCCTGAGTCCTGTGAGTTCCCCTAGCCATGCATCCTCGGGATTCACCCGATCACCTGTTGAATTTCCTGATACCGCTGATTTCCTTACAAAGCCAAGTGTTACTTTACATAAACCTGTGGGACATTCACTAAATTCTCAGGAGTTCCAGCTGCAAATCAGATCGTCATCGAGCCATATTTGTAACAGGTAAAAGGTTTGTTTTCTTCAAGTTTTATTCTGTTTCATAATGTCTGCTGTTGTGTTTTGTGAGTTTGGCTCTTGATTGTCCTTGATGGATACCTTGTATCTTAGCAGAGTAAATGTACAAAGCCATATTTATGGAAAGCGTTATGAGCAAAAGATCCTTCATATATTTAGTACAGTCTTTTTGATATAATGTTCTGCATGCTTGGAGTAATTTACAATTTTAAAAATATATGTTAACCTGCCTGCAATAGAATTTTTTAAACTCTGTTGATTAAGAAGAAAATTTGTAGTCGTGATCCAGCAATAAAATAACTTAAAAATAAATGGTTGAACTTAAGACAGTGTAAGCCATTAAATGTAACCCATATAAGATACAGTTTTTGTTTATTCTAGTTGTGGTCGTCAAATTTATAAACCTCTTTCAAACTCTGAATTGGCGGAGCACAGTTCACAATCTGGAGCTGAATACCAAGTCCGAAAATCAGGTAGGTACATTAATTGGAACTGTGCAAGAATATAACTCTACACGGTAACAATATAAACGGTTCAGAGAATATTAAAAATGTTTACACATTTTTAACAAAAATATTATATGTGTGATTATTATACACAGTTATAGTACATGCACTGCTCAGACTTGTTTATAGAGATATTAAGGGGCAGGATGCATTTTTTTGTTTCTTTTCTTTTGATATATATTTTGTATTTGTTTGCCAGACAGTGTAGTAAACTGTGTGTATATGCAAACTGTAAAGGACAGTTCTTAGCAGGTAGTTTACACTATACTGACCAGTCGCAATACTGAAGCCGACAGTTGATTTAATCCCTCACTCCAAGTTGTATTGTATAAAGATCAGTAATCTCGCAAATGCCACTTATATTCGTTTTATTATCATAGATCAGAAAAGCGACATGGGTAAAAGCTGTTATAGATTTGTATTCCTTGTCATTAGGCCTACTTTTACTTTTGGTTACATTTTGTGGTAAAATATTGTTTTAATTCTTTGATTCTGTCTCTCACCCTAATATTTGCAGGTGATAATGTTACCAGTAGTTTTAATGAATCTGGGCATGGGGAGAAGAAACCGGACAAACGATTACAAAAAGACTGCAGGAGATTATCGGAAAGTCACGAACAATATACAGACCAGACCCATATTAGCCAAACATTCGAGGTTAGGAAGAAAATCACTGTAATTCTACTGAAGCTTATATTATATTACCGGACCCCTCCCCTATATTCCTGACCAGATAATATATTCCTGTACACTTCCACTGTATTCCTGATCGGATACTATATTACTGGACCCCTCACCTGTATTCCTGATTAGATACTATATTACTGTACTCCTCTTTATTACGAACAGATATATTAGCAGGTCCATCCCCTATATTCCTGATTGGATAATATATTATTGGAACCCCCGCTCCCTCGTATTCCTGATCGGATACTATATTACTGAACCCCTCCCCTGTATTCCTGACCAAATACTAGATTACTGGACCCTTCCCCAGTATTTCTGACCCGATACTATGTTACTGTACCCCTCCCCTGTATTCCTGACCCGATGCTTTATTACTGTACCCTTCTCTTTATTACTGAACAGATATTACATTACCAGGTCCATCACCTGTATTCCTGATTGGATACTAGATTAACGTAAACCCTTCCCCCTCCCGTATTCCTGACCAGATACTATAATACCGAACCCCTCCCCTGTATTCCTGACCAAATACTATATTACTGTATCTCTCCCCTGTATTCCTGACCCGATGCTATATTACTTTACCCCTCCTCTTTATTCCTGAACAGATATTATATTACCAGGTCCATCACCTGTATTCCTGATTGGATACTAGATTAATGGAAACCCACCCCCCCTCCCGTATTCCTGACCGGATACTATATTACCGAACATCTCCCCTGTATTCCTGATCAAATACTATATTACTGTATCCCTCCCCTGTATTCCTGATCGGACACTAGTTACTGTACCCCTCCCCAGGGCCGGACTGGGAATACAAAGCAGCCCTGGAAAAACTTTGTGCCAGGCCCATAAGTCACTGCGCCATATATTGTCGCGTGTAATATGTAAGGCTATGTCTTGCCATGACAGATGATTGAGTAATATATATATATATATATATATATATATATATATATTGCTTTTTCTAATATAAAATATTGGTCCTTTCAGGGTAAAACATTTAATTATACAGTAAGCATACTCACATGCAGACACAGGCAATTTCACTGACATCTCAATGACACACACAAGCTCATTGATACACAGCCTCATAGACAAACAATCTCACTGATATACATCAGCTCATTGACATAAAAACACAAGCTCACTCACTAGCAGGCACACGCATGCAAGCAAGCTCACTCACTAGCAGGCACACGCATGCAAGCAAGCTCACTCACTAGCAGACGCACACACACAGCTTAATGTGGTGGTACTGGTGTCTATAGCATGTCCCTACAGGCTTTTCAACGTAAACACTGACTTTTCAGAGAAAAGGCAGTGTTTACATTGCTTCAAAGTGACACTGCTAGTGACAGTCACTCAGACGGTCACTAGAGGTGCTTCCTGTGTCAGTGCACCTACATTCAGGGCCTCCACACTCTGTAGGTGCTGAACGTTCCCCATAGAGATACATTGATTCAATGCATCTCTATGAGGAGATGCTGATTGGAGTGGCGTTTTGCAGCCAATCCTATGGCAAAGCATTGGATTGGCTGAGATCATCAAGCTTGATGATCTCAGCTATAGAGGCAGGGCCAGTCGAGGGGAGACCAGCACGCTGCGTGGGGAAAAAAAAGGTGAGCAAAAACACTATTTTTAAACACACATATACACAATGACAGACACAGAAACACACATATACCATGACAGATACACACCCCATGACAGAGACACACACATACCATGACAGATGATTACACAGACAGACCCACACACACACACCATGACACATACAGGCACACACCCCATGACAGACAGAGACACACACACACCCCATGACGGACAGAGACACACACACACCCCATGACGGACAGAGACACACACACCCATGACGGACAGACACACACACACCCCATGACGGACAGACACACACACACACCCCATGACTGACAGACAGACAGACACACACACCCCATGACTGACAGACAGACACACACACCCCATGACTGACAGACAGACACACACACACTATTACACACAGACAGACACACACACACACTATTACACACAGACACACACACCATTACACACAGACACACACACACCATTACAGACACACACGCACCATTACAGACACACACACACCATTACAGACAGACACACACACCATACAGACACCATGACAGAGACACCATGACAGACACACACACTATAACAGACAGACACACACACACACTATAACAGACAGACACCATGACACAGACACACATTACTAATACCTGCCAGGGGGAGGTCTTCTGGCGGCCACTGGGGGAGGTGTACTGGCGGCTGCTGGGGGGGCTATGCTGGCTCTCCTGCCCTCGTGCGCAGCTGAATGAGACCGGTCTCATTCAGCTGCGCGCTGGGGAGCAGAGCCAGCGCAGCTCCCCCAGCGGCCGCTAGTACAAGTCCCCCAGCGGCCACCAGAAGACCTCCCCCAGCGGCCGCCAACAGACCCAGGTGTCTGCCCGGCCCCAGGTGCCGACGGCCCACCAGGAAATTTCCCGGTATCCCGGTGGGCCAGTCTGGCCTTGCCCCTCCCCTATATTCCTGACCAGATACTATATTACCAGACCCCTCCTCTTAATTCCCGAATGGATCTTATATTACCAGATCCATTCCCTGTATTCCTGATTGGATACTATATTACTGGACCCCTACCCTGTATTCCTGACCCAATACTATATTACCGGACCTCTCCCCTGTATTCCTATATTACTGGACCCCTCCTGTTTATTCCCGAACCGATATTATATTAACAGGTCCATCCCTTATATTCCTGATCAAATACTATATTAGTGGATCTCTCCCCTGTAATCCTGACCCGATACTATATTACTGTACCCCTCCTCTTTATTCCCGGACAGATATTATATTACCAGGTCCATCACCTGTATTCCTGATTGGATACTTTATTACTGGACCACCCCTTTTTTCCTGACCGGATACTATATTGCTGGACCCCTCCCATGTATTCCTGACCAAATACTATATTGCTGGACCCCTCCCATGTATTCCTGACCAAATACTATATTACTGTAATCCTGACCAGATACTATATTACTGGACCCCTCCCCTGTATTCCTGACCAGATACTATATTACTGGATCCCTTCCCTTTATTCCAGATGAGATATATTACCAGACCACTCTCTTGTATTCCTGATTGGATACTATTATACTGGACCCATCCCATGTATTCCTGACCTGATATTATATTACTGTACCACTCCTCTTTGATCCCTAACAGATATTATATTACCAGATCCATCCCCTGTATTCCTGATTGGATACTTTATTACTGGTACACCCCTGTATTTCTAACTGGTAACTATATTCTGTATTTTTGACCAGATTTTATATTACTATAGCCCTCCCCTGTATTCCTGACCAGATACTATATTACCGGAGCCCTCCCCTGTATTCCTGACCAAATACCATATTACTGGACCCCTCACCTGTATTCCTGACCAGATACTATATTCCTGTACCCCTCCCCTGTATTCCTGATCAGATACTATATTACTGTACCCTCCTCTATGATCCCGAACAGATATTCTATTACCAGATCCATCCCCTGTATTCCTGATTGGATACTATATTACTGGAACCAAAACAAAAGTTACCTGCGCTCTCTCCTTAATCTCTATGTATATTTAAACAAATGGAGGTCATTTAGTTACTCCAATGGCCACTGGAGGGAATACCCGCCTGCCAACGTCAAGGCAGACCCCCCTAGACGGGTCCTACTCTGACCCTTTACTTTGCTTCCTTGAGCTTCTGGCAAAGATATCTCTAATGAGACAGAAAGGGGTATTTTTTTTTATATACACTCCTATATACTTATTAACCCTTAATAGGGAACACATGGGATGGGCGGCAGCATTGTAACCTAGCTGTGTGATACAAAAAGTGAATATATAAAAAAAAAGAAAATTCCTGCGCTCACTCCCGTCACTCCTGGGCAGCAGCAACGACCACAGTACACATCAGCTCCAATACTTATAGTAAAAACAAAAGGGAAAAAAGTTACCTGCACTCTCTCCTTAATCCCTATGTATATTTAAACAAATGGAGGTAATTTACATAGTTATTTAGTTACATAGCTGAAAAGAGACTTGCGTCCATCAAGTTCAGCCTTCCTCACTTGTGTTTTTGCTGTTGAACTAAAAGAAGGCAAAAAACCTAGTCTGAAGCGCTTCCAATTTTGCAACAAACTACGAAAAAAATTCCTTCTTGACCCCAAAATAGCAGTCAGATGTCTCTTTGGATCAAGCAGCCATTACTCCACTAATTAGAAATTATATCCCTGTATGTTATGTTTTTGCAAGTATTTATCCAATTGCAGTTTAAACATCTGTATAGACTCTGACAAATCCACCTCTGCCAACGTCAAGGCAGACCCCCCTAGACAGGTCCTACTCTGACCCTTCACCCTTTGAGCTTCGGGCAAAGAAATCTCTAATGAGACAGAAAGGGGTATTTTTTATATACACCCCTATATACTTATTAACCCTTAATAGGGAACACATGGGATGGGCGGCAGCATTGTAACCTAGCTGTGTGATACAAAAAGAAAAGTCCTGCGCTCACTCCCATCACTCCTGGGCGGCAGCAATGACCACAGTACACATCAGCTCCAATACATATAGTAAAAACCAAAGAAAAAAGTTACCTGCGCTCCCTCCTTAATCCCCATGTATATTTAAACAAATGGAGGTCATTTAGTTACTCCAATGGCCAGTCAGGGTATTCCTGACCGGATACTATATAACCGGATCCCTCCCTTGTATTCCTGACCAGAAACTATATTACTGGACCCCTCCCCTGTACCACTGACCAGATACTATTTTCCATGTGAATTTTGTACTAGTACTTGTTTATGACTCATGTGGTGAGTTGTTGGTTAATTTCATAACTGTGAAAGTATTCTAAAAATAATTGTGATTTTACTATGTTGGCTGAACTTGTATTAAAATTACACGTTAATGTGTTCCTTTAAAAATCTGTTATTGTTATTATTGACTATATTTCGTTGTAGGGCGGTTATCGTTTCTTTTTTGCTTTATAAAAAAATTATTTATTTATTTTACCTCTACACGAATAGATGGCAGAAGAGACATCCTTGGAACTGCTAATTGAAAATCATGACGAACTGTTGGAAAAATTGGACAATTGGAACTTCCCGATATTTGATCTTATGGAGAAAACGGGCGGCAAGTCTGGGACAATTCTTAGTCAGGTGAGGGAACTATTTGATTTATTGTTGCTATGAATTTATTCTATATCTTCAAAGCTATGATAGCTGTAACACAATCTGGGATCCATTATTATTCTTTATATAAAAAGTGTCAACAGTTTCTGCAGTGCTGTACATGGATACAAGTTGGTTTACATTTATCTAATTGTATGTGCAGAGATTGTGTATGTGTGAAGTGGTCATGGTGCTTGGAATAACCCTTTGCTATCCCGGTGGTGTCACTGGATAACATTCAGTTTAGTATCGCTGGAGGACATTCTGTGACCTGGGACAGGGGGCATTGCTGGAGGACATTCTATGATGAGTGGCGGTTTAGTATCGTTGGAGGACATTCTGTGACATGGGACGGGTCATCGCTGGAGGACATTCTGTGACACAGGACTGGAGGCAGCTTAGTGTTCCTGGAGGACATTCTGTGACAAGGGACGGAGGAATCACTAGAGGACAGTGTGACATGGGACGGAGGAATCACTAGAGGACAGTGTGACACAGGACTGAGGGCATCACTGGAGGACATTCTGTGACACCGGATATTTGGCATCACTGGGCTTTCTCTGACATGGGACGGGGGCATCACTGGAGGACATTCTGTGACAGGGACGTGGACATCACTGGAGGACATTCTGTGACACGGGACAGGGGCGTCACTGGAGGGTGTTTTGTAACACGTGACGGGTGGCAATTTAGTATTGCTGGAGGATATTCTCTGACAAGGGATGGGGGAAATCGTTGGAGAACATTTTGTGACGGGACAGTTTAGTATTGCTAGTGACACAGGTGGGTATCACTAGATGACATTCTGGCACGTGACAAGGGACAGGTGGGCATCACTAGAGGACATTCTATTACAAGAGACAGGTGGCAGTTTAACATCGCTGGAGGACATTCTGTGACATGGGACAGGGGTCATCACTACAGGGTATTCTATGACAAGGGGCAGGAGGCAGTTTAGTATTGCTGTAGGACATTCTGTGACAAAGGACAGGGGACATTGCTGGAGAACATTCCTGGACACGGGGCATTGCTGGAAGACATTCTGTGACACAGGATATTTGGCATCACTGGAGGACATTTTCTGAAACAGGACGGAGGGGCAGTTTAGTATCACTTGAGGAAATTCTGTGACAGAGGAAGGAGGCAATTTAATATTGCTGGAGGGCATTTGTTGACATGGGATGGGGGGCATCACTGGAAGACATTCTTTGACACGGGATGGGGGCCATTGCTGGAGGACATTCTGTGACAAGGAACTAGTGTTTTCCAATAAAAACTTGATACATATACTAGGGGGTTCTTTAGAAAATAAAATAATTGTATGCTGCAATGTTTAGTTGAGCAAGTATATAGGGATTCCAGAATGTAAACATATTTAAGATTTTTATTTTATTTTTTATTTTACATTGAACAGTCTATTTGGAACACATACGTGCAGTTGTGCCTCCTTGTCAACTGTTCCAATTATGTTACTCTTCCGTTACATTAAAGGGGTTATTCACCAAAGTAAAAATTCAACGTAATTTTCAAAGGTCAGAATAGACAAACTGGTAAAATTCTCTAAATCAACTATGCTTTCACTTTGGGTACTCTGGCCTTAAAAGTGAAGTTCACTTAGAATTCCCACTTTACTGAATAACCCTGCTAATGTAAAATGTGTATGTAGATATATACCTTCACAGTTTAGGCTCTGGTGTCGCACAGACCTACAATATCACAATGATGCATTCCTGTAATACATTTTAATACAATAATTGAAGCACAATTCCGTGGAAGAAAAATCACCCCTCAGTTAAACACAAACATCATAAATGAAAAAGATCTTAATACCGAAATATGTTTTTTTATTTTTATACTTTTTGTGATGTTGGAACAGTTGATGGAAACAGGATGTGGGTACAAATGTAAATCTCCACCCCCCCAGATCACAAAAATTACAAATAATATAATGGAATTGATGTAATGTACCCATACTTTAACAGCATTTTACAATCCCTCTATTAACATTAAGTTTTACTTGTATTTTCTGTCTAGCAAAATGTATTTTGAAGCGATGTGCAAATTTCAGAACTTTCCCTTCTTATTCAAGGACTATAAATTTTGAGTTGCCGAAGGAATAACACTTATTGATAATTTTATGGCATCATCGTTATCATTATCAGTGTGACAGCTTTTTACCATGACTAACCTTTTTTTTTGGCAAAAACTCCTTCCAATAAAAAGGTTTTACACAAAATTATCTAATGCGGCTGAAGTGGATTGCTACGAATTGGTGCCAGCACAGAGCATTTACCTCTGAAATGATAAAATGACTAATCTTAGGGTCTTTCGAGGATACGGGCAGTAATAGAAAGATTGCCACATGCAGTAAACATGATGGGTTAAACAAATCATTAGTTTGTGTGAGCTTCCTGTAACAGTTTAAAAGGCAGGTTACAGGCGTGTGACAGGGTTTCGGTCATGTTCTGGGCCATTGGTCAGCGTTATGGGTCGGTTCCTGAGCGGAGGTTTTCTGCTCTCTGTTCTTTATAAAATGCCTGCTGATCATTTCATTTCCTGTTATTCACTCACAAGAAGTCATGGATGATGGGTCATGTGGTTAAATCGACCTATTATTTGTTCATAGAGCTTCACTGAGGCCTCCAGGGATTGATTAGTGTTTGTGAATACGTAAAGAATTTGTGGTGTGTTCATATGACCTGGATTTGAATTATCACTCAGAATTTTAAACTAGAAATGGGCTCTGAACAGTCATTTAAGGGCAATAAAAGGGGCACTAGAGGTTCTAGTACCCTCTGCTTATTTTGGCATTGTCCATGTTTATGGAATACAGACCTCACTCCCATGATGTTGAGAAAATGTTTGGACCAACTGAGCATCATGGGAAAAGTAATTTCCAACATCTGTTAGGCTGAACAAATGTATTCATAAAAAATAGCGTATAACAACGTGAAATGCCATTGTGAATTACAGTACAAGAGTTGTAGTTTTATTTTACTTATACAGACATTTTTCAATTTCCCCCCCTTTTTCAGGTGTCATACACTTTGTTTGAGGATGCTGGGTTGTTTGAAATTTTTAAGATCCCTGAACGAGAATTTAGGAATTTCTTCCAAGCACTAGAAAATGGATACCGCGATATCCCATGTAAGTTGGCTTTTATTGTATGGTGGGTGATTGCCTTCTTGGTGTACGTTTATCACTGGCGTTCTCTTGTATAACAGGTACAGACGTTCCGTGGTCATTTAGGGAAAGATTTAACATTGCTTGAGTAGGGAAAACACCCTGAACCTTGGCCAGGTTGGGACAGTGGGGAGAGTGTGAGTTTTAAATAATTAAGAGCACTAAACCTCTGGTTCACTCAATCCCCTCGTAACTGAACATACAGTTACAATAAAATATCCCTCAATGCCTACCCTCACCACCCCTGGCTCTATAATTCTCTGCCACACCAACATCTTATATTGTTTCCCCATTAATGCATACCAGCTGAACCTAGGTTAAAATATTTACTACAATTAATACTAGTATACAACTACACCAGAGACCGGACTTAAGGAGCTAATATTTTGATAGGACAAATGATTTAGTAGTTTATTCAAAATCTGACTTTAACTGACAGATGGTGCAAAGATAAAAATCCAATGCAATTTAATGCATCACAGTATTTCTCTGCTATTAAATCACAGTACGTCTGCCCCACTAAATAGCAGTATGGATCCCTCCGCTAGGTAGCAGTATGGATCCCCCCGCTAGGTAGCAGTATGGATCCCTCTACTAGGTAGCAGTATGGATCCCCCTGCTAGGTAGCAGTATGGATCCCCCTGCTAGGTAGCAGTATGGATCCCCCTGCTAGGTAGCAGTATGGATCACTCCGCTAGGTAGCAGTATGGATCCCCCCCCAGGTAGCAGTATGGATCCCCCCCCAGGTAGCAGTATGGATCCCCCCCCAGGTAGTATGGATCCCCCCGCTAGGTAGCAGTATGGATCCCCCCGCTAGGTAGCAGTATGGATCCCCCCGCTAGGTAGCAGTATGGATCACCCCGCTAGGTGGCAGTATGGATCCCCCCGCTCTTGGTGGGTGGCAGTATGACTGTCTTGCTCTTGGTGGGTGGCAGTATGACTATCTTGTTCTTGGTGGGTGGCAGTATGACTGTCTTGCTCTTGGTGGGTGGCAGTATGACTGTCTTGGTGGGTGGCAGTATTACTGTCTTGCTCTTGGTGGGTGGCAGTATGACTGTCTTGCTCTTGGTGGGTGGCAGTATGACTGTCTTGCTCTTGGTGGGTGGCAGTATGACTGTCTTGCTCTTGGTGGGTGGCAGTATGACTGTCTTGCTCTTGGTGGGTGGCAGTATGACTGTCTCGGTGGGTGGCAGTATGACTGTCTCGCTCTTGGTGGGTGGCAGTATGACTGTCTCGCTCTTGGTGGGTGGCAGTATGACTGTCCTGCTCTTGGTGGGTGGCAGTATGTCTCTCCCCCATCCCCTGCTAGATGGCAGTATGCCCCCCTTGCTTTTGGTGGCAGGTCTCTCTCACTCTAGGTGGGTGGCACTACGTCTCTCTCGTGGTAGGTGGCACTACGTACACCCGTAAGACTTCCTTTTTTAGCACTACTTCATAAGAGAAAACATATAAAACATTAGTGGAGCTCCTTAAAATACATTGAGTGCAGATGGTAATAAAACGTGACAAATGCAAAAGTGATTTGAATGCATTCTTATAGATTAGAGCTCCAATACATGGTTCAATATTCACACAGTTGTGCTCTTGCATCTTGCATCTAGGATTATTTTCTAAAAACAAGCAGAGAAACTGAAGAGCAGAATTAATGCAGTATTAAACAAGGTGGTGTGATTAAGCTTACCTTCATTAGAGCCCCATGAATTCCTGGCTATGAGGTTAAAAGTGTAAATTGGTGGGGTGACACTCCCCAAACAGTGAAGCTGGAAACATATGGGACTACCAGAAGTGCTAAAAACAATATTTATTGAAAACCATGATAAAAACAAACTACTTTTAAAAAGTGCACTTATCAATATCCGGTGTTAGAGTCCTGCCAAGATGTGTATGTCCGTATTTAAATTGTTGTGCCCAATTTGCTGGAGAGGTCACATGGTCATTATTAACCAATGGCTGCATTTTAGGGCAGCTTGCCCTCACTTGTGGCGTCTCGAATCGAGTAAAATCGCCACTCACGGTGACAGGAAATGTGTGCTGTTGATCGCAGCTGCCAGATATGAACTTGCGCCGTATGATCTTCGGCTGATCGTCAGATATTACAAACAAATGCTTAGTCCACGTGTAGGCATTCAGGCGGCCAAAACTTCCATGTTTAAAATGGGAATAAAAAAGATGAAATTCTAAAAAAAAAAATTAAAAAATGTTTGTGTGTGTGTGTATATATATATGTGTGTGTGTATATATATGTGTATGTGTATATATATATATAAATAATATGGCGTATGCCTGAAGTTGTGGGAGGGATTTAAGGCCCATATAAACCCAGCAAACCCCTTGCTTACCTGTCTTTGTTGATTCCGGAAATTCCTCTTCCGGGTTGCGCAGACCTCTGACGTAATTTCCGGCCCGACACGAGTACGCGATACACAGCGTTCGGCAAGTTCTAGCTTCAATCGTGAGTAGTTTTGGCAGTGTACAAACCGAAAAAATACATTCTCAACAATACAAGGTTCTCTAAAGTATCAATTTGCCAGTTCCACTCACATACACTACTGACATTTCATTCGTATGGGGCATACTGAGTTATACATTCGGGCAAACATACTAATAACATTTCAGCTCAAACCAACGATCGTGAAAATCATTCGCATATACTCAAATCAAACATATTTACTAGTTTGTACTTGTTTCCTTCATGGTTACTTGAGTATGATTCTTGCAATTTTGTTGTTTATGGTTCTCTGATCAAATCCTTGTCGTTTCTTATACCATTAATGTTAATTTATTAAAAGCATAGTACGCTTATTAAATGATCTGCAATATAAGACACCTAATTATGCATGTCCATAAAAAAAAATATTTTTTTTTAAAAGCCTATTCAAATGTCACCGCTGTTCACATATCTCATTTTCTTTAATACTGGATCATGAGTTTATATTTACGTACTTTGTTCGGCTAATCATTCGTAATAAAGTCGCATTTTGTGTAGTACATGGTATACAGCAAGTAATGTTAAGCATTTTGGTGCCAATAATTCACAGGAATTTACAGATTAAAATAGGTATATGTTAATTACAAATTCGCAAGTCTGTTATTTTGTTTCATTGATACTAAGATGTTATGTCATGGAAATTTACCTTTGAAATCACTCTCCTTTCAATTCTAGGGATAACTTTCAGAATACATTACTTTTAAATACGCTGAATTACATAATTACGTTTCGGTTAGTAATAATTATTTTCTTTAAGACTCTATTTCACTCCTCTCTTCTACATTCCTAAACTAGTAGACTCCGTAAACTCAATCGTCTTAACGTAGGCATAATTTAGCCACAAACCTTATACGTTAATAAGTTTAATTTAAACAAATTTCTGATAATAAACGGATAATTTAATACTACAAATTAATCTAATCTATTTCCGCACCTGCCAAAGTTATAAACTAACAAACTGCTACCTATATTTTTTTTTTCTCTCTCTTTCTTCGTTCTCTCTCACTTCCTCATGCGTCCATGCTCTGCAAATTGGGGCATCAGCCTAGGTAAAACCGCTCGGCTAAAACAGACATAAATAGCTCCTTAGGTCATCTCAAGTACTCATCACAAATTCACGTACAGGTAAGGATAACAAGCATCTTAAACAATACGTTCAGTCTCGCTTTTATTCTCCCTCCCAGTTTAGACATGGTTGGCTGTCAGGGTCTTAGGAACCCAATAGCGGTAGTCTCCTCCCGTCTTCTTCGCCTTAGGTTAGTGGTCCCGCGAGGCCAACACCCATCCTCAGTTCGGGCCAAATCATAGTTAGCCGCCTCGCATGTGGTATAGAGACTACATGACTAGTCTTATGACTACTACTCACCAAGAGGCCATACCCCGCCACAACGTTCGGTGGACACAAAAATCCCCTCGCGCCAACTCATAGATAGAGCCTCTCAAGCCGCTTGGCACCTAGAAGGGCCTCACCAGTCACCAACCTAGTGTAATTGCTTCACCGCGCAGCGGCACTAGCTAGTCAGCCAGCACACACACACAAATTTCCTAACCTGAACGTTTCCTTTCACGCCCATAGCATGTCTAACGCTTCAGTACAAGACGATGAGCTATCACTTGCCAGCACTCCGTCCAGGCCTGCTACAGCTACAGATCCTGGACTGTTCCAAAAATCACAGCCGAACTGAATAGAAGAAACATTCCCTTTCCGGCTACAGCCAGGAAAGCCGAACTCTTCCGTTTACTAAACACCCAAAACGTTGATGAGTTACCGGGCCCTAGTTTTGATTGTACAATACAAAACAGTTTGGCAGAACTACGGAGTATGATGACCTCTCTGGTAGCTTCCGTAGGTACTATAAACAACAGGTTAGATAACCTGGAAGCCACTAGTCAAACTAGCATTCTGGAAGTACAAATTCCACTAGGACAACCCGAAACATGCACAGGAGGTAACTCCACTCCTATTCCTGCCAAAACAACTAATATTATTAACCCAGTGCATTTGATTCCACAAAATCTAAAACGGGACATACTAGAAGGGAAAGATGTTAATCTAGCTTCCCTCCTCATTTCCTCACAGGATAGAATCGAAAACAGAGCTTATACTTTCGACGATATATCCGTGGTAATGAAAGCTAGAGACCCTAGGCTCAATAAGAAGCTGAAAATTCCTGAATTCGTGTTAGCTTTTGGATTATATAGGTATGTAATTTGCTCTTCTTTCCCACACCGTAGAGAAGAGCTGGATATATATCTGCACAAGCTGGTGGAATTGGCTTACAAATATGGTGGTTACGCGTTCTACGACTACCATAAGTCCTTTTCGGCCAGATCAGCCGCGTCACTGGCTCAGTACAACACTCCCACTGATTGGAGTCAATTGGACACAGAATTGTTTTGTAGACATTTTGGGGGACTTAAAACACCAGCATGTGCAATATGTTCTTCAGCGTCTCATACAGCAAACTTTTGTCCTAGTAATATAGATGGTCCGTCTACTAGTAACGCCAATCCAGACTATTTTGCTAATCAGAGGGAAATGAAAGACAAGTTAGGGAGGCCTATAGTGTTTCTTGGGAAAGCACAAGTTTGTAATAACTTTAACGCGGGGGGATGTAGTTATAGCGTTTGTAGATTACTCCACGTTTGCTCAATCTGTTTCAGAGCACATGCAAAAACTATGTGTCCAAGCAAACTATTCCCTAAGAAAGCAATGACCCCAATAAACGTAAACAATTTACAACGTTACTTGACTGAACATCCTTCTTCACAGCTGGCTGACTTTCTTATCTCGGGTTTCACTAGAGGCTTTCACACAGGTTTAGTAGCACTCCCTTCAGGCATACTAGGATGCCCCAACCTACAGTCTGCAATAACAGACCCAGCCAGTTTAAAAGATCTTCTCAACAAAGAACTAGAATATGGTATTATGATAGGACCCTTCACCACACCACCTTTCACTTCCTGGAGAACAAGTCCACTAGGTATAGCCACGGGCAAATTCAATAACAAAAAGAGGTTAATAATCGATTTTTCAGCACCTCACTCTTCCACCTCCCCAGGTTTAAATTCCCTTATACCCTCAGAAGACTTCTCACTACAATATGCAAAAATAGACTATGCCATACAAGCTGTTGTCAACTTTGGTAAGGCAGCATGGTTAAGCAAAACGGATATCACAAATGCTTTCAAACTTCTACCAATTAAGCAGTCACTCTGGCATCTACATGGCGTTAAGTGGGAAGAGAAGTACTATTTTGCAACTAGACTGACCTTCGGCTCCAAAAGTAGCCAAAAATCTTCGACATATTCGCAGAAACCTTGAATTGGCTACTACTTAACAAGTCCAGGTGCCCAGTAGTAATCCACTGCCTCGATGATTTTCTGTATGTAGAGCCTCACTACTACACACCACGCAGTCTAAAAAGTGCACTCTCCCTATTTAAGGAATTAGGAGTCCCGGTAGCTCCAAATAAGACAGAAGGTCCAGTACAGAAATAATTTTCCTAGGCATCACACTCAATTCTGTAACTATGCAAGCTAGCCTCCCTCAAGTCAAAGTAGACAGGATTCTAACTCACATTCACAACTGCACCAATCACGGGTCATGCACCAGGAAAGCGTTACAGTCACTCTTAACTTTGCCATGAGAATTATCCCTCAAAGCAGGTCTTTCATCTCTAGGTTACTTTCTCTTCTACAAGGCCTCCCTGGCGACGACACTAAGATTAATCTAGACGATCCTGCAAGGGCTGACCTAAAAATGTGGAATCTATTTTTATCCTCATGGAATGGTAGGTCATTGTTCATTCCCCCCATCTCTGACGAATCCCCGGTTATATGGACAGACGCTACAGCTACCGTCGGGTACGCTGCAATATTCGGGGACGAATGGGTATATGACAATTGGCCACCCGAAACAGTTACACTAGTAAACTTTGACAAAACCTCAGCATTGTTCGAGATCTTCCCAATTGTGGCAGCAACACACATTTGGGGAGAAAATTGGAGGGGTAAAGCAGTTAGGTGTTATTCTGACAACATAGCAGCTTGTAACATAATTAACAAAGGCCGCTCTCAGTCCCTGTCAGTTATGAATCTAGTAAGGAAACTTACATGGTTGACAGCAATGGTTGATAGCAAATTTGCAGTTTTACATTTGTTGTATCCATGTTCCAGGTGTTTTCAATAACGCAGCTGACGCTTTGTCACGTTTTAATTTACAGGAATTTTTCAGACTGCACCCTACAGCGAACAAGCAACCCAAAACTCCTCCGCAATTCAAAGACCTAATCATGCATTAAACCAGTTATTAGCTCACAGTAGAATTCTCGCACAGGCAGGTTTGTCAGTGAACACTAAAAAAAGCGTACGTTAGGGCATTTGACATGTTCAAAAAATTTGTTTGTGACTTTAACATAATAAATAATTTTTCTGTTGAAACCATGGTTGCATTTACAACTTTTTGCCACATCTCGTTAAAACTAGCCTACAATACCATAAAACTATACTTGACGGGGATACAACATTTCATGCTAACTCTTTACCCGAACAATACTCCTTTCTTATCAACATACTAAAAGGTATCCAGAGGCTAAAAACCCCAAAATCCCTCAAAAGACTCCCCATAGACGGGAACATCTTTAAAGAAATCTCCAAGTTATTAGATGGAAGTCCTTTCGAATATACCATTAACCTGGTAATTAAATCAGCGGCTTATTTGGCCTTTTTCGGGTTTCTAAAACCTAAAGAATTTTCAGTAGAGAAAATATCTGACACTGACATTTGTCTCAAACAGAGAGACTTAACCAAAGTAAACGATCATTACGTTCTATCAATCCAATCCCCCGAACAAAAACAAGCCAAGCAGGCCCCCCAGTGGCGATGAAGTATTTTCCTACCGGTTCCAAATGGTACCCAGTTCAAGTGCTGGATAATTTGATAATAAATCAGCAAATTAGAAATCCAGAACTGCCTCTGTTGGCCCTACAAGGAAAGCCACTTACTACTAAACAGTTCATGCTATACATACGTTCTTTGTTACTTAGACTTGGCCTCAATCCAAATTCCTTCTCAGGACACTAATTCTGTATTGGGGCTGCCACTGCAGCCTCTAGTACTCAGGTTCCAACACATATCATAAAGAAAATGGGTCGCTGGAAATCTTCAGCATACAACCGGTACATTCCAAACCCAGAGAAAGAAATCAGACTCGCTTTCTATAATATGTCTAAATAATGTTGTTGTTGTAATAAACAGACATGTTTACATACTTTTTGGCCCTCTTTTTACAGGCCTAACTTCTCGTCGGTTTCGGCACACCTCAACCGACTCTTATTTATCAAAACTACACTCACTTTAAGTGTACGCCCCCTTCCATAATCCCGTACACAAATAGAAGGCGTATGCCTGAAGTTGTGGGAGGGATTTAAGGCCCATATAAACCCAGCAAACCCCTTGCTTACCTGTCTTCGTCGATTCCGGAAATTCCCCTCCCACCACACCCTATTTACATATTAATATATCCAGATGGGCCCTCTTTTTACAGGCCTAACCTCTTGTCGGTTTCGGGACACATCTCAACCGACTCTTATTTATACACCCACTTTAAGTGTACGCCCCCTTCCATAATCCCGTACACAAATATATATATGTAGGTCCCTAAATAGCTCTTTGAGTGCCCCTACTGTCCAAATAGTGCCCTGATCGGAGAGGCGGCCATTCTTCAATCTGGCTCAGAAGAATACCTGGATACCTCTTCACTGAGTGCCCTTACTGTCCACATTCACTCAATCGCACCACAGTCCCAATCTGGTAAAACGGTTCCAGTGTGTTTGAGGGTATCTCCTGGTCTAGTGCTCCATGTATAGAATGGGTCTCCAGAGGTAGTGTTCCGTATGGGAGACAGAATACTCATTCAGTGGGTCTCCATAGTGACAATAGCCATTTTATGCCCATGTGGTATTGTGTTTCGTGACTTACATATACATTGACACAAACACAGATACACACTGTCGCATCCAGACACACAATGACGCATATGTCGGTGGATGGCTTCCCTGAGAGATGAATAGTGCCGGTGGGTGGCTTCTCTGGGGTCTGGTGAGAGCTGGATGGTGCTGGTATGTGGCTTCCCTGAGAGATGGATAGTGCCGGTGGGTGGCTTCCCTGGAGTCTCGTGAGAGTGGAATGGTGCCGATGAATGGCTTTCCTGGGCTCTGGTGAGAGCTGGATTGTGCTGGTTTGTGGCATCCCTAGCCTCTGGTGAGAGTGGGATGGTGCCGATTCATTGTGTAAGAATTGCATCCCTCTGGAAACAAGCAGTAATTGTATTGAAAATATCCTTCTAAACAACCACAATCCTTTATCTGCAGATTTCCTCCTAAAAGTACATTCTATTCTTATTTTAACTTTGTCTCACATGTAGATCACAATCGTGTCCATGCCACTGATGTCCTTCATGCAGTGTGGTACCTGACCACGAGGCCTATTCCAGGATTTCAGGAGATCTCCAGCGATGACGCAGGTAAGATTCCTGGTTCTTAGTTCCAGTTATAGAGTGTAATTTGAAGTTATTCTCTCTGGAGATCTGGACATCTTGCAGATCTGAGCAAAGGAGTTATTGGCTCTTTGTTTGTTTTTTTTCTTCTTCATATTTTGTTAATCCAAAACCTGTACATTGTTCTAACTATTTATTGCCATTCTGTTTCTCTTTGTGCAGCAAAAAAATCAGCAACAAATCACACACATTTATTTTTTTATTGTGAACCTTTAACCATGTTAAAAAAAAAAAAAAACTGCTTATGGCTTAGATGTCTAGGAGTTGCGGTGCAGATCCTGGCTTTCTACACTAGAAAGTGGACATTTGAACTACAACTCCCAGAATCCCTTCCTGTTCCAGTAAGTCACTGCTTCTGCAATGTGCTCAACTGTGCGATAGCAGGTCAGTGACCACTACAACTGGCTGAGTCACTTCCTGGCTGGGTGACATGTGCCGGCAGAAGCCGTAGAGTCTACTTTTATTTCATGTTTATTGTGTTTAACACAACGGGTAGTTTCCAGCCCGTAGTGTCCCTTTTAACTATTAGGTCCTGGCTTCAGTTTCAATAGTCAAAGGGAGTGGTTTCTGATTCATTTTTTTTTTTTAAGGGTCCACATTATTTTGCTTATTTTTGACTTTAGATATTTCTCTTCTTAACCCTTTGAGTGTTGGCACTCAAACCGTTAACTTGTTGATGAGCGAATGCTGATCTTTCTGTCTCTTCTGCCAAGGGAAGGGCTTGACTTAGCAGAGTTCCCTGCGCTGGCTGCTGGTGAAGGCTTTGCTGAATCAGCTTGTTTCAGAGGATTGCTGTGCATTAGGCTAATATTCCTTTACATAATTAGGAAATTAAACATCACAGACTAAAAATAGCCTTTACTTGAACAATTTTAACTTGATTGCAGTCTCTTATCATTGGGTAGATCCCTGCAGGCTGTATTGAAGGGTCAGACATGTATCGGATATATGCTGCGCATTCATCATGAAAGGATTCCTTCCTCTGTATATTGAATCTGAATGGCAGGAATTAAATCATGTAATAAATCATATAATATATATGTGAAGTCAGCAGGAGTTTAAAACTAGATTTACAGACTCACAGTAGCATGCTGTGTGTATGAATATATCACAGAGCTCCACAGTGGTGATACACTAATGTGCAATGTGTATCACAGAGCTCCACGGTATTAACGCAAACTAATGTGCAGTATGTATGAATGTATCACAGAGCTCCACAGTAATAACACACTAATGTGCAATGTGTATCACAGAGCTCCACGGTATTAACTCAAACTAATGTGCAGTATGTATGAATGTATCAAAGAGCTCCACAGTAATAACACACTAATGTGAAATGTGTATCACAGAGCTCCACGGTATTAACTCAAATTAATGTGCAGTATGTATGAATGTATCACAGAGCTCCACAGTAATAAAGCTCACACTAGTGTGTAGGAATGTATCACAATAAAAATGTGCAGTGTGTAGGAACGTATCACAGAACTCCACCGTAATAGAAACTCACACTAATGTGCAGTGTGTAGGAATGTATCACATAGCTCCACAGTAATAACACACTAATGTGTACTGTGTAGGAATGTATCACATAGCTCCACAGTAATAACACACTAATGTGCAGTGTGTAGGAATGCATCACAGAGCTCCACAGTAATAACACACTAATGTGCAGTGTGTAGGAATGCATCACAGAGCTCCACAGTAATAACACATTAATGTGTACTGTGTAGGAATGCATCACATAGCTCCACAGTAATAACACACTAATGTGCAGTGTGTAGGAATGCATCACAGAGCTCCACAGTAATAACACACTAATGTGCAGTGTGTAGGAATGCATCACAGAGCTCCACAGTAATAACACACTAATGTGCAGTGTGTAGGAATGCATCACAGAGCTCCACAGTAATAACACACTAATGTGCAGTGTGTAGGAATGCATCACAGCTCCACAGTAATAACACACTAATGTGCAGTGTGTAGGAATGTATCACAGAGCTCCACAGTAATAACACACTAATGTGCAGTGTGTAGGAATGTATCACAGAGCTCCACAGTAATAACACACTAATTTTGCAGTGTGTAGGAATGTATCACAGAGCTCCACGGTAATAAAACTCACACTAATGTGCAGTGTGTATGAATGCATCACAGAACAGTACAGAAATAAAGTCCCATGATACTCTCATACATACTGCACTTTTCTATGAAACAAAATGTTCTACATCCATAAAGTACAGCAATTTTTATAAATAATAAAAAAAAAAGTATGGAAAGATGTCAAATGTGCCCTAGAGAATGTTCTGTTTTGTTAATATGAAAGGTTTGCAGTGTTACTGTAAGGCACTATACATTATCTGTTTATAACTACTTAATATATCTTAAGCTTGGTGTAATTACACACATTGCATATTGTGATCAAGGCTGTGTGCAAATGCGAACTGAACTTTTTTATATGTAAATATGTCTGAACATTTAATTTGTGCTTTCTTTAATTGTTAGTATAATATCTATGGCTGGATATTGAACGTTAGACTGAAGGACCCATCTCACGTGGCTCTGTATAATACCCATGGCTGGCTAATGGAAGGTTAGACTGGGGAACCTTTTCCGTGGTGTTGTAAAATACCCATGGATGGCTAATGGAAGGTTAGACTGGAGACCCATCTCCTGTAACCCTGTATAATACCCATTGATAGCTAATGGAAGATAAGACTGGGAACCCATCCCCCATGGCTCTGTATAATACCCATTGCTGGCTAATTGAAGGTTAGACTGGAGGACCCATCTCATGTGGTACTGTAGAATACCCATGGCTGGCTAATGGAAGGGTGTACTGCGGGACCCATCTCCCGTCACTCTGTATAATGTCCATCGCTAGCTAACAAAAGGTTAGACTGGGGGGCCCATCTCTGAGTTTTCTACCTTGTCAAATTAATGTGGCACTGTCATGCTCAACTTACCTTTCTTTAATCGCTTCCTCTTCTCTCCCTCTTTTAGGATCTGTTCTTCATTTCTTCGTGTCTGCTCTAGTTTTCTTTTAAACATAACACAAAGTAGGGACTATTTGTCTTATAGAGGTTTCCTACGCTTGACCAGTGGAGGAACAAAGTGTGCTCCGTTTCCTGTGGTCAAAGCAATTTTCCCACAATTCTAACCTTTCCTCCTTGTTCTCGCGATGCCTCTTTTCCGTATTCTCGAACGCGGGCAAAGCTACAGAATTTTGTCCTTACAGAGCGAGAGCAGTCCGTCAATTCGTGTTAGGAAGAAATTCAGGACTTTTGTTCGGTTTGAAATTTCATTCCACGGTATTCAGGAGCACAATAGGTCCCTCTCTCTTCCCCTCATTTTCATTTAGGGCACCCACCCGCCGCTCATGGGGGGGGAAGGACAATAGCCTCCCCCTTATTGTAATTTAGGGCTCCAGCCTGCCGTTCAGGGGTGGTGGCCGGGGGAGGACAACATGTCCCGTCCCCCCATTTTCATTTAGGGCCCCCACCCGCCGTTCACTGGTGGGGGCCGGGGGGAGGACAATAGGGGGAATATATTGGGGCCAAGGGTGACCCGTTGTCCCTCATTTACTTTTATAGCCCCGCCTAGGGGGGGATACTATGCCCCCCCGTTAGTTAATAGATTTCCCACCATGGGGTCATTTGTTAGAGGGTGGGTGAGAAGCCACTGGCACACAAAGATGGCGGCACCCAGGACCTATGTCCGGGCAGAAAATAAAGATTTAAAGTTAGGTAAGCTTGGGGCACTTTGGGGTATTTGGAGGTGACTTGGGGGACAATTAGATGTAGTGGAGTCGGGAGGGGGGTTAAAAAAAAACATGAATTCGGCCATGACCGTGCTGCTTTAAGTTTCCATATTACTTAATGTGCGGTTCCAGTTCCTGATATTTAAGTGATTAAAAGACCTTCCGTTCTGCGGTTTCCTGTATAGTTGGAGCTTGACCGCATTTCTAGAGGACAAGCCGCATCTATTGTGTGTGACAGTACAGTAAATGGTGCCTGTTGGTGATAGAACCATTGGATGGCTGGCAAGACAGATATGGCTCCTCCCATCGCCAGTTGTTTGCAGAGAGATATAGGTTGAGCCACCTACACATCTCTTTTTATTGGTTTCAGCTGGAGGTGTTTTGGGTCTGCTGGCTATAAATCATCCAGTTTATGTAAGTTTATGGTTGACACAGTACTGTAAGTGTGATGCAGCCAGGAATTGTCCAGGGTCTTTGCTAGGCCGTCACTGTGTGGGTTTATATTTGGCCGATGGGCCCAAACTTTTGTCTCGTTGGAAATGGTCATCGCAACAGAGTTTGCTGGAATATATGATCCGCAGCCATCGCTAAAACGTATATAGTATGTGCAAGTAGGACCATCCAAATGAAGATTCAGGACTAAAAGCAATTTTTTTGTATTCACTGTGTCAGATTTAAAGTTTCCTTTTTTCCCCTGCACAGCAAGCCCTCTGCTCCGTGATACTGTAATGGCACAGATTAAATTCAATCTGCCACTGATAGGCAGTGCAGAAAATAATAGCCATTTCATTATTACAGCTCTATGGAATCTGATGGCGCTATATAAATAATAAAATAATAGAGACTAGACTTCTCCTTTTAAAGATCTTCATCCCACCCCGTGAAAAGGCCAGACAGACCCAGAGCACACCACGCCTTAGAAATGATCACTGACGTCTATTTATACGCAAAGCTGATTTCAGAGTTGGCGCTCTGCCACCGTTTTGTATTCAAGGCTGGCTAAGTACTTCTAAATTTGCTTGGGGAAATATGGCTAGCCCAAAGTGCTGCTTTGGCAGAAAGGAGACTGGGAGCTGTAAAAACAATAAATAGCGTACTGCAGCAATAGCTTTTGCCACACAGATATATATAACCTGTTTCGCCAGTCGCAGTCTGTATCACATTGCTGTTATGTGTAATGTTGTCTGCACTGCATTCTGTTCTTTCTGCTCACTGGATCTGTCTGTGTTTTAGTACTGCTTTGGATCTTGTGGGTTTTACACTGTAGGTCACTGAGTGTCCTGAGCCCATCACCACACACAGTGTTTCTCCCTCTTAGCTGCTAAATCCTACTGTTCCAGGCTGTCACAAAATGGTTTGTCTATTCCCAGCACTCTGCACAGAGCATTCACCGAGACCAGTTAGGAGATATTCTGTTATTGGAATTTTAGACCTGACTGGATCATTCTCACAGGACTGAGTTGACTATGTCCAGTGTAACTTCTGTTCTACCATCCAGTCTATAGTGACAGACAACATGAAATATTATTTGACAATTTGCCATAACACAAACTGCCTGTAGATGGAAGCACAGTCTGATGTTCAACTTTTCCATTTCTATTTTGTACCAATTCTCCATTAACAAGACAGATTGAACTATTCTCAAGAATAGCAAATAGAACATTCTGTGTACAATGCACATTCTTTTATGGGAACAATGTCCCCTCTATGCACCTTTAGTACAAGTCAGAGTGCAGAAAAATTTTAATAAATGAATGTTTTCAGCCAAAATTAGCCTGAGAGACAGAGAATTGAAACATTAACTTGGAATTACCTTCCATATAAAAAGTAGGCTCTCAAATAGTTTAAATAAAAGTGCAGGGTAAAATTATGTAATCAATGCTGGATGTCCTAAATTGTTGTTTTTGTGCCTATTTTTGGAGTAAAGATTTTACAGATTGTGTCTTCTCCTCTGTAGACCCAGATAATGCTGCTGATCCGGCTCCTGTTTATCTCTCGTCAAAAAGCTGCACCTTTGTGGATGACAGTTACGGCTGTATTGCAACAAACATCCCTGCGCTGGAGTTAATGGCTCTATATGTGGCTGCAGCTATGCATGACTATGACCACCCCGGACGTACCAACGCGTTTCTTGTGGCCACAAATGCTCCTCAGGTTAGTGTGCACAGTTGATTTTTATTGCAAAAAGCTCTATATCTCAGTTTGTAATTCTATAACAAACCATTGTCGTATTGTGCCCGCTATAATAATATAAAAACTCCAGACAGACGTCTATATTTTTAATTTACACACTCAATAAAATTTTTATAAAGGTACCTAGTAAAATCTGCAATATGTCCCCTCAGTGAGCTTTGCAATAGTCCCTTCACTAGATCTATAATTAGCTCTTTGGTAATAGGCTATTGCTGTGTGTGTACAGGTACAAAACCCCAGATAAGTGTATCTTTTAATCTGCTAAAGGTCTTGCACCAACATGCTGTATAACTTGCATGTGTAGTTTCCTGTATGTGAACGTGTGGTCTTCACAATCCATAATGTTTAATTTTCGGTGTGTTCTACAAAGTTAATTAAGAATAGCTCTGTTACTGTCACTTCAAGATGGTATTATTTACGCTTTGATTGTGGGGAAAATTAATGTATTCCTTGTTACATTTTTGCAAATAGTTAATATTTTTGGCTTTTTAACCATTAAAATGTGCACCATAATTAAAGGAAAACAGGAATCTCAAAATTAGAGAAACACTAGTATGGTGGCAACTAGTGGCTGTCAGTCTGTCTGTAACCATGAGGCTTGTTTTTGGCCAACATGTAGGCACAAAAATATCTACCTAAGGTTTACAGTGTTGGTGGTCAGCATCCTTTTAAGTAGATTATATTTTTCAGTAGTTTTTTTTTTCTTTTTCGTTTCAAAATGTTAGATAGATTTAGAGGGTTTATCTTCGCTGCTGGCTGAAAATTCCATTTATTATAATTAATGTTTTGCTGCCAAATTGTTAATTTTTCCATTCCTGTCTCACGTTAAGGTATATGATTTCCTTATTACACGTATGTCTGACCTGGCATTCCCTTGCACGCTTCATTAAAGCAAAGCATTCTGGGATAGATTGCAGTGGGCACATATGCACAAACTTCTATATATTTACTTTTTTTTCATGGAAATATGTTTAAAGATGAAAAATATCTACACAATGGAAACATTAATCTGCTTGCATAAGGAATCGTGATTATAGAGATAATTTTGTCATCGCGGATTACATGTGCAACATAGGGCTTTATGCATTTACTTTTAACACCAGATTTAGGATGAACTATTTGGATGCCAAAAGTGACAGCTCAGAGCATCTTGTATCTGGCATGTTTTGAAAAAATGTCCAATCAAATAATATTTTTAACTTTATGGTAGCCTATGTTTATATGAGCAGCTCTCTTGGTTAATGAGAAAGGAACACTAAATAGAATATTTTGGTTCAAGAAATGCTGGGCTGTGTTTTGTGCGGCGTCTGTAGCAGCTGAGCAGAGTGACTTGGCCAGGATTCCCCTTGTGAATATGTATAATTTGATTACAGTGTATCAGCTGAGTGGGGTTTTAATCCTGTTATAGAGATCGATTTGACATGACTACGAACGGAGATTGGGAGATTTTTCTGCACAGACATTAAGGTGGATAAATTAATTTAGTGTTTCCATCATATGACTTCACTAGTGGACTTTCTCTCCCCCACCTCCCTCTTTCAACAAACGATTCAGCAGGTTCTCTTCATTAAGATATTGAGGTGAGAAAAGGCAGTGGTTTTGTTTAAAACACTGGCAGTTCCTCCTCGTGGCATAATTGAATTAATCTCACACGGTTGGCAAATTTGTCTCCATTTACTGAACAGGCATGAGACGAGCGCCTGTTAGATGAAGGCCGGAGTCGCGCAGCCATTACTTCTTTTAATAAGCAGTTCCATATAGTTCTGTATTTCTGATGCAGAAAGTGTGAACCGGACACATTCCTATCACGGCCTGGTGACATAGTACTTTTAATAGTTTATATAATGTTTTGTTTTACTATGACTGATTAATCCCTCCAATTTGCTGTGTATCACGTAAGCTTCAAATAAACCGTAATTATACATTTCCTTTAGATAATCAAACTCTGCCCCTATAGACAGTTTGATGGGTTGCCATTTACTGGAATTACTGCCGGACGGTCCCTTGCATATGGGTGAGGGGCGCCTGATACCATAATGCGATTAAGTGAGAAGTAGTTCTGGTCATTGATGTCACCAGCTGCACGCATTGCAATTCTCTGTTTTAATCTTGTTTTAGGCGGTTCTGTATAACGACCGATCAGTGCTGGAGAATCATCATGCGGCTGCTGCTTGGAACCTCTTCCTGTCTCAGCCAGACTACAATTTTCTCACGTATTTGGATCACGTGCAGTTCAAACGATTTCGTTTCTTAGTGATCGAAGCAATCCTTGCCACGGACCTTAAAAAGCATTTTGACTTTCTCGCGGAGTTCAATGCCAAGGTATTTACCGCGAACATTGCTCATTGTTCAATAAAGTGTGTTGATTTTTAATCACTTTTGGAATTTTATTTTTTTATTTGTGATGTTTTGCTGTTGTCATAGACTCTGATTGTGGTTTATTGTCACTTTTATAGCACGAGTAATGTGTGTTTTTAGTGAATTTGCTACACACTACTTAATTTTTATAATGAGAGTAAATTGTGGGCTTTAAATACTCTGTAACATAGTTCACTTTGTAACAGTATTTTAACAAACAATATCAGGCCAAATGTAAATACTCAGAATAAACACACTTTAACTTTTAGTGTTGGTAGTGATGATGGGTCAGAGGAGGTGTGGTCAATAAGTGACTTATCCATATCCATGGATACTGAAATCCAGAATAAACTATTAGTCTGAGAGAGGCTGTGAAGATACATTCATGGGCCAAAAACTCTTGGGTGCCAGAGTAGAACACCATAAAACTCTCCTAATAGGTATGACTTGAGTCAGACACAAGTGGTGAGTTTGCTTCTTTTTATAGAATGTATGAGTGGTCAAATGGCAAGAAAGTGGCCTTTACACCTTGTAGTGACACGTCCGTTTGACATTGAGTGGAGAAAATAAAGCGGATCACATTGTCAAAGTATAATCCGCTATTTTAGACTAGCAGCTGCTTGAAATGCCCAATACAGTGATCAGGAAGGTGGACATGGACGCAGGGAGATTTTGTGCTTATAATTAAAAATGTAGACATATGTTTTTGGGATTCTTAGAAAGTATGATTGACGCTTGATTTCCTAATTGTAGGTGAACGATGTGAACAATGGAATGGACTGGAGCAATGAAAATGATCGACTTTTAGTTTGCCAAGTCTGCATTAAGTTGGCTGACATTAATGGTCCTGCAAAAACTAGAGAGTTGCACTTGAAATGGACTGAAGGCATTGTTAACGAATTTTATGAACAGGTATGAAGGTTGTAGATTATGGTAAAATTATTCAAACTAAACATCATTTAGCATACATAAGCCCCTCTTCCACTATTCTGTTAATTGCATTCAGTTGCAATCTTCTCTATGGGCAGTAATGAGTATAAAGCCATGAGCAGCCATTGAATTTCTAGCTGTTTCATGTCTGCATTGCTGGTAAAGAGGTATATAAAGTGGGAATTAGTCAACATTCATTATGAAAGGGCTAGAGCAATACCATTTCAAAATGGACACGTTGAAAGGCTGGAGGGTGAAAGCCCTGCTTGTTTAGACAGGTTATTATCCCAAAGGTGTTGTGGTGATATGTTTGCTTTCTCAGTAACATATATGTATACAGAGCACAAACTACAAAGACAAGTGAGTTAATCTGTTTAGTTAGAACGATCAACCTGTGTTTAAAGAGCGATTTTCTTATCGTGTGTGTGTGAACTACGTATCCCATGATGCTCTGGAAAATGTAATGTAAATTATTTTCACATGCATCTATAAGAACCCATTTAGGCGTGATCATTTCGGGGATGGAGGTTAGTTACTGCTTAAACTTTTAGCTGACATCAGCCAATAGAGAGAGCTCCACAAGCAAACTCGGTGTACCTTACCATAGAATCCACAATCCACAAGTTAGAATAATGTTTTATGTCCCAAACTCCTCAGGGGGATGAAGAAGCAAATCTTGGACTGCCAATCAGCCCATTCATGGACCGGTCTTCTCCTCAATTAGCAAAACTGCAAGAGTCGTTCATCACCCACATTGTGGGGCCCCTGTGTAATTCATATGATGCAGCCGGGTTGCTTCCTGGGCGATGGATAGATGAAGACGAAGAAGATTTGGAAAGTGAGGATGATGAAGATTTGGATTCAGAAGATGAAGAAATGGACGATGACGTTGGTTCAAGTAAGTGCTCCGAAATAATTTTTATGTACGGATGTCTAGCAGTCATTAACCCCTTAAGGACCGATGACGGTTCAGGACCGTCATCGGCATTTTCCCATTGCCGACCGCTGACGGTCCTGAACAGTCCTAAAGGTCCTAGTTACTTACCTGATCGCCGTCGTTCCCCCGGCGGCGATCAGCGTTGCTCCCGATGTGTGAAGACTGCCTGCAGCCCAGACAGTCTGCCCACACTGGATTAGGACCCCTGTGGCCATGTGATCGCGTAACACAGCGATCACATGGTCACAATAGGTGTCCATGTGTCTGCCTGCAGGGCGACTGCATGTGCTGACAGCCAGTCTCCCTGCTAGCGTAAAATCATTAAAAAAAAAATGTGTGTGTGTGTATATATATATATATAATGTCATACTAAGTGTATTTTTATATTAATATGTACTTATATTAATATAAAAATACACTTATAATTAAATTACACATGTGTATATATATAATATATATAATAACTATATATATTGTGTATATATATATATATTATTATAAAATATAAATAATGATTAATTAAAATTATTTTTTTTTTTAAATAATAAAAATTGGAAAAAAATTATATCTATATGAAATTTTATTCTAACTGTATTTTAAAATTAATATATATATATATTTATATCAAAATACACTTAGAATGAATTTGTATATATATCTATGTATATATAAATAAATAAAAATACAAAATATACATATGTCCATATACAAAATTACATAAATAATTATATAAATATACACGTAGACTTCAAATATATAAATATGCATATATATTTAAATTCTACGTGCGTATTTATGTAATATTTTTACATAATTAAGTAATTTTATTGATTGCAATTTGAGGGACCTGCCTGCCAACCCAGGCCGAAAGTCCAGAGAATTTAATTTGTTAGCACTGTATTTTACCCTGTAACGTTCTACGACACCCTAAAACCTGTACATGGGGGGTACTGTTTTACTCGGGAGACTTCGCTGAACACAAATATTAGTGATTCAAAACAGTAAAACATATCACAGCGATGATATTGTCAGTGAAAGTGACTTTTTTTGCATTTTCACACACAAACAGCACTTTTACTGATGATATAATTGTTGTGATACGTTTTCCAGTTTTTAAACACTAATATTTGTGTTCAGTGATGTCTCCCGAGTAAAACAGTACCCCCCATGTACAGGTTTTATAGTATTTTTGAAAGTTATATGGGTCAAATATTTTTACATTGAAAATGGCCAGGTTGGTTACGTTGCCTTTGAGAGCATATGGTAGCCCAGGAATGAGAATTACCCCCATGATGGCATACCATTTACAAAAGAAGACAACCCAAGGTATTGCATATGGGGTATGTCCAGTCTTTTTTAGTAACCACTTAGTCACATACACTGGCCAAAATTAGCGTTCAATTTAGTTTTTTTACTTTTTTCACACACAAATATGAATGCTTACTTTGGTCAGTGTTTTCGACTAAGTGGCTACTAAAAAAGACTGGACATACCTCATATTGAATACCCTGGGTTGTCTACTTTAAAAAAAAATATGTACATGTTGGGTGTTATTCAGAGATTTATGACAGATAATAGTGTCACAATGTCACTATTGATAAATTTTAAAAATGTATGTTTTGAAACCGCAATATCCTACTTGTACCTATAGCCCCATAACAATGCAACAAAAAAAAAAAGCACGTAAACACTGGGTATTTTTAAACTCAGGACAAAATTTTTCATCTATTCAGCAGTTTTTTTTCATTCGCTTTTGTAGATGAGTAAAAGATTTTTCAAGTAAAAGTAAAAAAAATTGATTTTTTTCAATTTTTCATCATATTTTTTTATTTTTATTTTTAAATTAAAATACAAGAGATTATATAAATAATGGTATGTAAAGAAAGCCCCTTTTGTCCTGAAAAAAACAATATATAATTTGTATGGGAACAGTAAATGAGAGAGCGGAAAATTATAGCCAAACACAAACACCACAAAAGTGTAAAAATATGCCTGGTCGCAAATGTACAGCATCGCAAAAACAGTTGAGTCCTTAAGGGGTTGAACATGGCATGACAAGGCTTATTTTCTAAACTGGGACTTCTTGAGACAAAAAATGCAAATGTTGGTTTTAAATATCTGAATTTGAGAAATAATTCAGCTCTGCATTTTTGCTCTACATTTTGTAATTTCTTAGTCACATCTACACAATTCTTGATTTAGTGAATGAATCCTACTATTTGGTCTAATAGTAAATTTAAACAGCAATCCCAGACAGTGGTTATTGTCAATGTATACCTTATAGCAAAAATCTGCTTCCATATGTATGCCCACCCCCTTTAGCGATACAGACCGTGATACGCGTTTAAAAAAAAAAAAAAAAAAAAATCTTTGTGAAGCGTAATATGGACGCATGAAAAACCTGTTATGTAGAAGTTAAAGAAAAAATGCAGATCATTAACTTTATAAGGAACATAAACAAAAATGTGTACAGACATTACATATACTGGAGTGAAAATGGAGCACAGCAATCATGCACATTAGAATTATGAATATTTTAAAAACATTATAATTTTTTAATAAGTAAACTTAAGCAAACACTGGGTAGGGGGTATGCAGTAAAAACCAGTCTCCCCTTTAATTTATATGTATATAGAGGAGTTAATTACTTACAGGAAAATCTACACCATTAAATGAAACATTAAAAATGACCTATCATTTCTTAAATGACATCATAATTCGGTTCAGCCAGGGCAGACATTGTAAATGAAGTAGAGAAAAAGACACCTTGCTTCTTCATATGCTGACTGCCACGTGTAAAGGGTGGAGCTTATAACAATGATTGACAGAGAGGTAAGATAGCGGCAACCAGTTACAGGATAAAGATGTCTGGATTTCTGTGTTTAAATTTATTTTTCACACCTAACAAATACATATTTTGTCAAGTATAAGTATTCGTAAACATTCTGGGAAGTGACAGCCCCTCTTTACATATTATACTTTTTTTTTTTTCCCTATTCATCTAGTAAACAGTGTTTGGTTGCTCTCCTCATAGCTATGCCGGGGTGATGCTGGTGGAATATGGGCCTGTACTTCAGTCATAATGAACTGTTTCAGACTGTATCAAAAATTAGGAAGAAGGAAACTTGGACACCATTTAAACACAAGTTATTGCACATCAATATTTAAAGGACCACGATAGTGCCAGGAAAAAAAACTTGTTTTACTGGCACTATAGGGTCATTAGGGTCCCCCCACCCTCAGGGCCCCCCTCCCTCTGGGCTGAAGGGGTTAAAACCCCTTCAGCCACTTACCTTTCTCCAGCACCAGGCTCTCCCGGTGCTGGGGAACTCTCCTCCCTCTGCTGACGTCAGCTCTGAATGTGCAAGAGCCGCGTGCGCACGCATTCAAACCGCCCATAGGAAAGCATTACTCAATGCTTTCCTATGGACGTCCAGCTTCTTCCGTGAGACTAGAGGCTGGATTAACCCTCAGTGAAACATAGCAGTTTCTCTGAAACTGCTATGTTTTCAGCTAAAGGGTTAAAACTAGAGGGACCTGACACCCAGACCACTTCAGCTCAATGAGTGGGTGCCTATAGTGGTCATTTAAGTAATAAGCGTAATAAAGTAATCTCCTTAAGGCTGTCATTTTCCAAACTTTAGAAATACTGTTTAGTTTTTGTATTTAGTTTAGTTTTTGTATGCCCTGGTTAACATGTAATCAAGGCTTTGGCCTTTGTGACTATGTCTTCTAGAACCACAGAGAAGGAAAGGCAGACGGATGTTCTGCCCACTGATGCACCACCTTCGGGAGAACCACAAATTATGGAAAAAAATCATTGAGGATGAAGAAAAAAGTAAAACCGAGACAAATAAACAGCAGAACGAAAGTTTGTCATTACCTCAATCAGATGATATCCAGGTTATCGAGGAAGCTGATGAAGAAGAGGAGCGACAGTCAGTGGAGGACAGAAGATGCTGAGAACATTTTATTATATATATATATATTTTTTTTTTATTATTTTTTTTTTTAAGTGTGCAATGGGGGAGCAGAGACCCTGTTTTCTATGAGCTCTTCACATACTGTAACTTTGAAAGGCCTTAATACTGTGAGAGGGTCGTTCTGCCCTCGTAACTCCCCCACTCTATGCACTTTCACCACGTGGGATATATAAACTTTCTATTGAAACGTTGATTATTGTCTACCTTGATGCAAAGTCCTTTGTGATCTGATTGGTATCCAGATACCATGTTCTAATGCTGCCTTGCTGAATACAGAGCTCCTATTTTCCATATGGTACTTGCAATCATTAAGTGACTTCTCTTACCAAAGTGGCCACCGCTTTTTTTTTATTTTTTTTATTAGGCTGGAGCATTGGAAGAAACCCACAATGTGCCCACGTTTTTCCTTTTTTTTTGGTTTCATTTTTCCCCCTGGAATATGAAAATGTACCAATGCTGAAATAGATCCTGAATAATACTACTTTGAACCATTTTTGGATTATTTGTTAGTGAAGGAACCCTAACCCTTTCTATACTTTAAAGACTTAATGACCATTATAAAAAATATATATATATATATATTTTACGATTGGAAATCCCTCATATGCATCCGTTCTGATGCTCTTTTATTGTAATATATAAACTGCCTGTGCTTTTCTTTTAATTTTATTTTCCCGGAATGAAGTGTCTAGATAAGTTAGGGTTTTTTGTTATTTTCCCTTTTAGTTGCCATTCTGTGGTAGACAACAAAATCACAAAAGAAAGAGAAAGAAGAAAAAAAAAAGTGGGAAAGAATAAAACCACAAAAAAGTGTTTCAATAATGAAGGGATTTTTTTTTTTTATTTAGACAGTGATATATATATATATATCTTTATATTTTTACACTTTTACTCAGGATTTGCACGTAGAATATGTCAGATGTTAAACCAACTAGCAGAAAGTGGCGTTGCCCCTCTAGTTTTTGTAATTTCAGCTATGAATACTTACTGTTTGTGTGCATGCTTTTTGGGAAAAGAAGCACTATCCTAAACCAAATAACCAAAATAACATTTCAGGCGTCGCAGAAAGGTAACCACTCCGCAAAATGCAAATCAACAGCCATACTTTGTCCAAGGGTATAACGCCTCACATCAGATTATATTACTACTGTTATTTTTTTACTATCTTGTAATCTTTTCAGAGTCAGGTAGGGAACCTCTTCTTGCTGATGGGAAGGGCATAATAAGTGTTACCCATAAAATGTATTATGTTGCTGCAGGAGGAAAATGAATAAACCACTCAAGATCGAGTGGATTCCTTGCATGAATAAATTGATTTCTCTCCTACAGCATATATAAGCTACATACTGCAGGGTACCACTTTTTTCATGTAATGCCCAACAGCTTGAAGAAGTGATGTGTAAATGAAAACATGGAGGATCTGGCAATGCTAGTGTACCCTTTCCTACCATGGCACTAAGAGTTCATTTTATTGTTTTGTTATTTATTTTTTGGGGATTTGGGAAGGGGTGGGATGATGTGGCCTTCTGAACACCTTGGTCAGTGAAATATTTAACAGGACTATATTCTTTCACTCCTGTATTCCCATACTCTGGCTTAAGTATGTGATGTTGTAGGAAGCCTCACAAGGAAATATATTCAAATAAAGCGATTGGTCCCAGTTCTCAGCTTACAGTATTGATTCTCTAGTTTATGGTGGAATTTGGCGGCTAATCATGTATATGAGTCCTGCTGTGTACTGCTAATGAACACGTTATCACTTCCGTTACATGTTTTACCCAATCAATTCAAGAGTTATAAAGACGATACCACATGTTTTTTTTTTAGTTGGAGAAATGTTTTGTACCTTAAAGTAATGCTATTTTAATTTGTATTTATTTTTTTAAATTGCTAAAAGATTAATATATAATAATATAATTTCTTTTCAACTAATGGCAAATTCTAATTTGTTTGCTTCCATTATGTAATTCTATCTGGTTCCTTCCTTACACTGGGCAAACACTATACAGATTGAATTCCTGTAAAACTTTTATCCAGTCAGTAGTTTGGAAAGTGGTCACGAAGGACCTGTGGTACCGCTGGATGTCCCTGGTGAAAATTGCCACAACAGAATTGATCTGCAACACCCATCTTCCACCAATAATGCTCAATTGGAAATGCTATCTGATCACTGTGGTATGCTGTCATAATGATTACATGTCTTGGGCAGTCACAGGGGACCATTGCTGGACATGTTTACTAGTGAGGACTAACCTTCACAGTACACTTAACATGTGTGGGAGCCTGGAGTGTCCCTTTAATAATATAAAACCACCCAGTATAACCAACTATAACCTAGCCTACACAGTGCATCTAACGTGTGTGGGTGCTTAGAGTATCCAGGGCCGGTGCAAGGATTAATTTTGCTGCACCCTCATGTCACTCAAACACTGAGACACACACTGGCAGACACACATACACTCACTCACTGACACATATGCGCACACAGAAACTCACTCAGACACACAAACACAGACACTCACTGACAGACAGACACACACACAGGCAGACACTCACTGACAGAGACAATCAATCACTTACAGTCAAACACTCACAGACTCACACAATTTTATTTTTTGAGGCACTTCCAGCCTCCCTACCTCACTGGGGTTCAGTGTAGGGCATCTCCTCACTCCTCCCACCCGCTGTTTAGTATGCCGGGGCCGGAATGATGTCATATTCCGGCTCCCGGCATCACAGAGGGCGCACAAGGGAGGAGTGGGAAGCTGAAGGAACATAATCCCTCATCGCCTGCCTTCTCCCCCCCCATCCCCCGCCTCGCCGCTCGTCCTGCACTGCGGCCCAAGACGGGGAGCCCACCAGGAAATATCCCAATATAATAATATATACCCACCGGGTAGGGTGTACTGTAACCTAACTTAGTCAATGCACCTAATGTGTGTGGGAGCCTGGAGTGTCCATTTAAAAAAAAAATCCTCTTACACATGTAAGTGAATTACTTAGCAGACAATAAGGCAGCTGGTGACTTGGAACGAGATAGAAAAAGAACTTGCGCTGTATCAGAAAAGATGGATCTACAAGAATCATGAAATGCCTATAACTACAATGAAAATTCTTGTACAATCCTTGTACCTTTATTTTACCATGTGAATTCCCTGTAAGCGACTGATCTCTATTAAAGAGTATTTACCCGTTCTACGGTTTTATTTTTTGCTGACTGCATCCCACATGTATTACAATATGTTGGGTCTAACAATCTGTAACAAAGTATATAGTTTTTGTTCTGTGTGTTTGTAGACACTCCCATAATGGGCATGTATGAAATCTAAACGTAAATGAAGATGTTACTGTTACTGGAAACCTTTGTTGTGTTAAGATTGTATTGACAGTCATCAGTCACAAGGACATGTACCCGGACATAATATGAAATTGGCCAAATTATCGAAATTTTTCTTTTACCCTCCAAAATGTTCAACTCGCTGGTAGCATCCATTTAGACCGCTGTTGCCCCTTTCGTGTTTAATAAGTGCAGACTACTTGTGACGAAGAGCAAAGAGGCGTGCTCAACATGGCCAAATGGTTAATTGAGCCATATTTTCAACAAAAGACACAGGCAGTGCTTGTCATAGTTATCCGTTGTTAGATCCTATCTTTATTCATTGAAATGCAATATTTCACTGTATATAGAAATTAATTTTCAGTTTTGTTTATGCTCAAAAGTTTACAAAGCCAAAAGAGTAAAATGAGACTAATCTTCATTTAAACTATTTACAATTGATAATACCCATATTATAATATATTGTTATATCCACAATTATTTTAATGGTTTTGTAATTGTTTATGAATCCAAATTCATTATTTGAAATTCACTATGAGTTCTGGCTATTTACACTTTACACTATAATTAATACAGTAGATTATATCATAAGGAACTGTTGTCTGGTCATCAGGCTCTCAAATGTATTAAACCAGGTGTGGTTTGTAAACTCTCATCACTCTCTGACAATGCCACAGTATTGTAGCCTATAAAGCGTCAGATACAATAGAGGATGTTTTTGATATGAGTTGATTTTGTACTACGTGATAAGGTGTCATTCACTTAATGTGTTGTAAATTATTTTTGAAATCCCGTTGGGATTTGATCCTATGAGTGCAAGATGTGTTATCAAAGCGGTTTACAGTAATGCATGGTAAATGCAAAGGTGAATTTTCAAAGAAATTACCAAATCTAACTAAGAGTGAGAATTCTCCAAGTCCGCTACCTTGGCCTAAATATTGCAACTTCCTTAGATAATTTATTTTTTTCTCCAATGTGTAATTTTTTACTAAAGGGTTACTGTAACCCTTTGGAGAACGGGGGGTTTGTGGTGTAATGTGCCTTACTGGGTACTATGGAAAGGTCCCCCTCTAAATGTGTAGTGTATAACCCACAAATAAAAGTTTACTCCCCTTGAATCTAGTGCCTGGCGAAGCTCCTGATGCTGATCTTCCGCACCCCTTCCGACCAGCGCTGTAGTTACCGTGAGACTAATAAGGCATTTGCCTTGGGCAGTACTTGAAGGTGGCGGAAAACTCCCTCCCCCCCCCAAATGCCTCGCTAGCCTAATTTTAAGGGGGCCACCTTTGGGCCCCCCCCCCCTTCCTTTGGGGTGGGCAGTCAGTTCTGTCCCAGGAGGTTGTGCACGCAAAGCTTTTCCTGCTCAGCTCCCTCACACACTGCAGAGTAATGCCGGGAGCCAGAACATTACGTCATTTTAGGAATTAGTCTGTGGCGTGCGAGAGAGCAGAGCAGGAAGAGCTCAGTACTCTCGCTGCCTGCTTTGCGCACCTGCCTGTCTGCCTGCCCGCCCAACTGACTAGTCCATCAGCCAGCCCAGCTGCCCCACTTGACCACAGGTGAAAAATATCCACCCAGCTCTCCCAAAGGTAGGGAGGCTGGCTGGATTTAAAATATTTTTTTTTTAAATAACCGTAATCCTGTGAGTTTAGGGGGAAATGTGTGTCAGTGAATGTGTGAGTGTTTGTGTCAGTGAATGTGTGTGTGTGCGCGTCTTTCAGATTGTATCAAATCAGTTGTGCGTGTGTTTGTCAGTGAGTGCAGTGGGTGTATGCCGGTGCGCCCCGGGTGCGGTATGGGGGTGCCATGGCAAAGACGGGCCTTAGGATGTGTGAGCTGTGCGTCGCACGGGTCACCAGGGCAGCTGGGGCACCAGGAGGCCGACACAGCTCACACACGCAGGATCCTTAGAAGTTGAAAACGGGCTGCACGTAAGAAGATTGGGGCGGAGCTAATCGGCAGCAGGGGCAGAGCCAAACCGGCAGCGGGGACCAAGCTAAACACGGCCTCCTACTTCTGGACATCGAGGGGAAGCAGGAAGCTGCTTCACCAAATAACACTCCATGGAGGGACCGCAGTGCATCTACTCCTGCAGCCCATACTGTCTGTAAGTGAGTGAGAGAGAGTATGTGTGTGTGTTTGTCTGCCTGTGAGTGTGTGGGTTTGTGACTGCCTGCAACTGTGTGTGTGTGATTGTCTGCCTGTGAGTGTTTGTGTCTGCTTGTGAGTGTGTTTGTGTCTGCCTGTGAGTATGTGTTTGTGACTGTCTGCCTGTGAGTGTGTTTGTGACTCTGTGGGTGTGGCTGTCTGTGTGTGTGACGTTCTGCTTGTAACTGTGTCTGTGTGACTCTGTGGGTTTGACTGCCTGCCTGTGACTGTGTGTGTGTCTGTGACTGTGTGTTACTGCCTGCCTGTAACTGTGTGTGTGACTGCCTGCCTGTAACTGTGACTGTATGTATGTGTGAGACTGTCTGCCTGTAATTGTATGTGTGACTGCCTGTAACTGTGTGTGTGACTGAGTGCGAGTGACTGTGCCCGGGACAGGACTCTAAAGACTGTTGCTAATATTGTTGTGTAAAAAAAATGAATTCTATTGTAAGAGGATGAGCAAGGGCTTTAGAGGGAAAGACAGGGTTTTTTGGGAAGGTGGGTGCAGGAGTTTTATGGCAGGGGGCTGCAGGAGTTTTGTAGAAGGGGACAGGAGTTTTTCAAAGTTTGACTGTTTTAAAAAGAAACCTTTTAAAACAATTGCAGTGTTCTTTTACATTTTAAAGTAGGAGGGAAACACAGGAAAAGCACCGGGTGCCAAATGCTTTAGGTACGCCCTTGAGTGAGTGGGTGTGTCCATGTGTGTCTGTCAGTCAGTGTGTGTTAGTCTTTAACAGTAAGAGGTGTGATCTTGACAGGAAGGTGCAGGGCAAATTCAAATTAGGGGGTACCAGAGTTCCATCATGCCTAGGACAGCACAGATCCAAAATACATCACTGCCTCCTACGTCACTGGGATGCATACAGTTCAATCACAGGTTCTTATAGAGAAGGTTGTAACTGGACAATTTTGCTGACAAAGGAAAGGGATGGTTTTTAAAAAAAAAAAAAAAAAAAAAAGGTTGTAAAGGGAGGCGTGAGGTAGCACAATATGGGAGGGGGAGAGCTGTCATCCTGTCATCCCTTTACAGGCGCTTTGCTTGCTAGAGTAAGTTTTATGTCTGTTACCAGACTGCACTTCACTTTTTTTTTTTTTTTTTTTAAATGCACAGAATGTATTATGCCTTGTGGACTAGAGTTCTGGGCTGCTGGTGTCGTGTGCCAGGATCCAAGGGCAAATATCTCAATATGTGCAGTGTTCTAAGCAGAAATACTGCACATACTGACTTCTACCACCATAACCACTTCAAACCAACGAAGTAGTCATGGTGGTTAGAGTAACCGTTTAAGGGTTTTTCAGAAGGGTATAAAAAGAGGAGTTGCACAGGTGTTGCAGAGATAAAGAGAACAATGACTGCATTAGAAAGATTACACTGTTGACTGGCATTTACAGCAGCTGATTCCCGATTGCTGGGCAATTGTACAACGCAGATGAGAAATGTCATTACAGTACTATTAACAGTCTGCATAAACTAAACTGTATGACCGTAATGGGACTAGTGAATAGAGCTTTTAATATACTAGCATACTTATATACAGCTTATATTTTGGTATTAAAATTAATGGGGCCAAGACACATGTATTCTTATAATTTAATTATTTAAAAAAACCCTCAGCCAGCGACCTGCAATGTGTCGACAACATGGAACAGGTTAGGTGGGGAAAGCAAAGTCCTATGGCATCTCATGACCTCGTTACGCATTTGAACAAAGTGTTATCTTGTTAAATACTGCTTTCTGTGTCTCTGTAGGGAGTTAATGTCAAAGCAAACCCTTTGGCTGTCAGCTTTTGTATTGTCAAAAAGGATAAATAGCCAGGGCTTGTGGGTAACCGATAAGGAAATTGCAAATCATAGGACCAAATCCCTGTAGTGCAAGTGGAGATTTTGTCTGTTTATTACACCTAAATACGAGCTTTTCTCCTTTCAGTTAACATTTCCAAGTGTCGTTCATAACTTCCCCTATCCCCCAAATGTTGTGAAAAGTCCTCCTCTATGGCTATTGGAATAAGGTAATGATGACATTTGAAATCACTGCCTTTGCAAGATTTCCCATGATGGAAGTGATTAGCCGTGTCTCTAGCAGGAAGTAGGTGGGCCAATCAGGAGCCTGCCATTCTGCTCTGTCAAAGTTTCTAACATGTTTGACCTGGGACTCCAATGGTTAAAGTGCCGATCATAGCTATTCTATTCTATCTCCAGTGATTAGTAATGTGACTGGCTGACTATATATAAGAATTCACATGTAAATATCTGTCAATGCAAAATTCATCTCCCATTATCTCTATCTAGCTAGACATTGGTGGCAAATAAAAAATAAATATGCACAATTTCAAATTTCAGGTTTTCTATATTTTATTTATTATTCCCTTTATTTTTTACATTACATGCTTGTCATCATGTTAAAATTACATTTGATAAACTACTAGAACAATAGTTTATTATAAACTGCGCCAGATCATTACTTCCACCTACTGGATACTTATGTTTGGACAGAGGTCCCACTAAATATATATCAAGTGGTAATAAAATGTTTGACATTTATGGATTACGCTTTCTTAGAGCTCATTACTAATCATTACTAATGGTTTACTGAAACTGTATGCTTCGTTTAGTTAGTCGGAGCATAGGTCTTGCTGATACAATGTTTGCATTTATAGATTCATTACATACCATGATTTTATTCTGTAGTGACACCCGTTTAACCTTTAGACTGGAGGGTTGAACAGAAAGTCTGAGAATGCTCTTTACTATCCCGTAGGCCTATATATTATTAAAGGGACACTATAGTCACCAGAACAACTACAGCTTATTGAATTTGTTCTGGTGAGTAGAATCATTACCTTCAGGCTTTTTGCTGTAAACGCTGTCTTTTCAGAGAAAATGCAGTGTTTACATTACAGCCTAGTGATAACTACACTGGCCACTCCTCAGATGGCTGCTAGAGATCCTTCCTGGGTCATGGCTGCCTAAAAGGCATCCAAACATTCAGTATCTCCTCCCTCTACATGCAGATACTGAACTTTCCTTATAGAGATTCATTGTTTGAATCATGCTGGCTCTGCCCCTGATCTGCCTCCTTATAAGTCTCAGCCAATCCTATGGGGATGCACTGTGATTGGATCAGGCTACCACTTCTGCTGATGTCAGCAGACTGTTTGTTTTTCTGAGTCTAACAGCATGCAGAGTTACAGCTTCAGGCTTGAATACAGTAAGATTTGTACTATATTTATGGAGGCATGAGGGGCCCAAGGGGGGTAGGTGGTGGTTTTAACACTATAAGGTCAGGAACACATGTTTGTGTTCCTGACCCTATAGTAATCCTTTAATTTTCTCCATATATTCCTTAATGCATATCCTTTTAGGATGACTAGCCTTTTTTTATTTATTTACATTTACATGTTTATTAGTTGTTTTTTTTTTTCAAATAAGGAGTGGGGTACAGAAAGTAAAGAGGGAGGGGGGCCAAGCATTATAGTGCAGCATAAGTCACAGTGTAGCGGCAGGAATAGGCAACCTTTGGCACTCCGGATATTTTGGACTACATGTACTGTGATGCTTTGCCAGCATTATGGCTGTAAAAGCATTGTGGGAGATGAAGTCCACAACATCTGAAGTGCCGAAGATTGCCTACCCCTGTAACCGATGAACATACAATAATACAGTAATACCATAATGTGCCACACACAATGGATGGCAATTGGCAAACAGAACAACAAAGATTATCTAACATTCATTCCCATGGGGTTTGAGTAATTGAGGGATAATTTTGCGTGGTGGAGTTAAGGTAGTGATAAAAATGACTGGGTGGTCTGTATACACTCGAGCAGTTAACATTTTGAAATAGACCCACATAGTATCTTTTATCATGATGACTTGTTCTCCATGCGTTTCACCTATCCCAAGGTGTGGAATAGATTGAATTAGATGGGTATATTGTAGTAAATATGTTTTTTAAATTTATCGCTTGACCATAGAGCCTAATACTCTCTGAAAGAGAGGTAAGGAGGGGAATTTCCATGCCTGAACAATCTGCCGTTGCTCTGTAAGAATGTGTAAAATAAGTTATTAGTAATTTCTTGGAGGGGTGTAAATGGAAAAGCCAGGAGTAGATTATACAGCGGGTTAAGGGGAAGGTCTACTCCAGTGACATTTGTGGCTAGTTTACCGTTACCCTAAATGGATGTATGACGGTACAAGTATTTAGGAGTATTTCATGGAGCCTAATAGGCACCATATACCATTGATTGATGATTTTCCTGTGCTGTTCAAATTGTGTGGAAGAGTGAAGCAGCCCATTCTGAAGGGTGCATATCTTGGGCCATAGAATTTTGAGCAACATTAGAGCTTGAAAAGGGTGTTTTATTGGAGATCCGTTTACAACCTGGTATACAACCATTTGCAATATAAATACATTCAAATGGTGTTAACAAGGGCACCTGGGTACCTCCAAATCTACCCTGTATTTTATTTTTGGTCAATCTGTATTTTATTTGCGCATGTAGTACAATACAAGAGTGAGATGCCACAACAGCATGTAGAACAATAACAGACATCATAATCAAAGCACTATCATGGCATGTGATTGAGATGCACATGTTTTTTGTTTTTTGCGTAACAGATGAAACAAGAGAGAGTAGCTAAGTAATTGTGGATCACCCAAAGCAGGCTTAGGACTGCAGCTATGTTATAGGGACTAGAATGCAATAAAAGCATATGAGACTCAAAGGCCTAAGGGACAGGGGTTTGAGTACCGGAGGCTTCATAAGTGAGCTGTGTTGCCCAGGGCCAAGAATAATTAAGACTCATAAGCCACAAGAGTAGAGGCAGTGGCGTGATTATCCTGAAATAACTTTGTATGTACATTCTCAGAGAGCATAGCCAAGCCTCATGTTTAGGTATAGAAGACATTTATCATTAGGGTAAAGCGTATTACACATAGGTTGGTATTTGGCTCGCTTTGGAAACAAAAGTAGGTGCAGTGCAAAGTTTACTATCTAATCATCTTGCTAGCGAGTAACATATGTACATAGGATCAGCTTGCTATAACAGAAATAGGGTAAGAGTTACCCCCCAGACTACATTCCCCAGTTTTAACTGCAATGCAGAATACGTGTTGAAAGTATCGGTAGGAAACAGAACAACATATAGCTCTGTGGACAGGTATGCGCAGCTCGTGGCTGGGGATTGTATAATGTACATGGAAGTCCAGCATCAGCCTATTCCCCGGACCGGGAGTTTGTGGAAGCCAGTGTAGTAGGCAGCTAGGCAAGGGCTGTGCCCATCTTCCCTCCAGTCCTGGACCATTGTGAAGGCCGGCATCGTGAGGCCACAGACTTGGGGGCTCTGAAATGAGGCCAAGTCTTTCCCTCGTGGGGGACAGCAGAAGATCCCAGTGTTATAGCGCTGCCAGCGGAGATAGGTCCTTAGCCACTTTGGTAGATGCAGGTGGATTATATCCCCTGGGGCCTTCAGCCCAAGCGGGGCAACTGCAGAGAGGCTTGTTGCTTGTGGAAGGATTATGCCTGGAGAGGGCCCGCTCACCTCCTCTCGACCTTGTTCTCCCTCCCGGTTCTGAGCTGGTGACACCATGATGCTGGCTGACAGCTTTGCAAGGAAACTTTCAAAGAGCTTGTCCACATTGATAAGCAGGCGTTCAAACATGTCATGCATGGATGTCGTGGACTGAGTAGAGTTAGGCACATGTAGCGTTGGAGCATCCGCTATTTTGGGAAAGCCTGCAACACGTTTCTGTGTAATTTCAGCATTTCGTAGTCTGCAGAAATACATGGAGTAGGTTGAGAGTGGGGGACCAGGATGACCCCCACTCATCCAAAGTGGGGGGGGGGGGTAGTTAAGTACTTGCTTTACTCTGCCCAGTTAAGGGCTTGGAGAGCAGCCGTCTCTCCATAGTCTCTACTGAGGTAGGCCACAAGCCTCGATGCGGGCGTTCCGGCGGTGGAGGGGCCCAAGTTTGGTATCCCCTGATACACCAGTTCCCCCCTGTGATGCTGATCGCTAGTAGCGGTTAACAGCTCCAGAGTATACTCTGTTTTTCAGGTCCAGGCAGAGGAACTCAGATGATGCACGTCTGGTCAGCTTGGCTGACAGGCTCTGCCCCCTACCCTGTCTTTTTAACTGGAATATGAAAGAATAGAGTTAAAGGTATGAGTAATATGAACTCTCAGGTAAATCAAAGGTATCTGTTAGCTCTTAGACAGCTATAAGATATAAAGTATCTCAAGAAGTAATGCTATCTCTGGATGGCGTTGGGCTAGCTACAGAATATGAGCTATGGTATGGGGTTCTAGGTGCCTGTTTTCTAAGTTAACTTATTGGGGGTGTCTGTGGAGCTCCAATGTTGAAAGGTTGAAGCTAAAATTGTTGTATGGTAATATCTTAAGGAGGTCAGTAACCCCAAGTTCTCTCAGGGTCACTGGAGCCTGCAAAAGTCTCTAAGGGCTATCATAATTTTTTTTGCCATCTCAGTGGTTGTTGTTTTGAAATATGAAGCTGGTAGCTGCAGTGTGAGTGTATTAAAGAAATACTACAATCTGGGCAAAATGGTTATTTTAAGAGCAGCTATATGATCCGATCAGGACAGAAATAATGAAGGCCAGCATTATAAGAGCAATTACAAGTATTCCAAGTTTAATATAGTTTGTTGGAAATATTTCATATGGGTTCTTGATAATCGTAAGTCCTAAATATGTAAGACTATCTGTGTCCATTCAAACAGGAAAGTATAACTGTGATTTAAGATACTACTATACGTCTTCAGCCAATAGGGATGGGAGTGATAAAAGCGACTGATTAAAGGATAATAGGTCATCATCTGCAAATGCGCTAACCTTAAAGGGACATTCTCATCCCCAAAACAACTTTATCATAATGAAGCCATATTTGTGTTTTGGTCATGCCTCTGAAGTCTCACTGCTCATTTTTCTGTCATTTAGTAGTTAAATCTCTTGTTTCTGTTTATGCAGACCTAGCCACACCTCCCCTGGATGTGACTGACACATCCTGCATGAAAACAAAAAAACATTTTATTTTCAATCTGATGTTACTTACTTTGAATGTTTTTATCTCCTGCTCTGGAAATGGAAATTGAATTACATACAAGAGGCTCGTGATGGGTCTAGAAAGCTATTAACAGAGCAGGACATAAGTCACATGCAGGGAGGTGTGCCTAGGGCTGCATAAAAAAAAATATTTAACTCCTAAATGATAGAGAATTGAGCAGTGAGCCTGCATGGGGCATGCTTTATATATAAAATCTGCTTCATTCAGCTAAAGTTGTTTTGGTGACTATAGTGTCCCTTTAATGTCTCTGATTCCCATATCCACCCCTTTAGTATCAGGAACCAGAAATGGTTCTAGGGCTAGAACTTACACCGGGAGGAACTGGCACCCTTGTCATGTGTTGTTGGTTATAGGAAACCGCTATAAAATATAGTATGTGTGCATGTGGTATAGTGTATAACACCAATATAGATTTTATGAAATTAATCAGAAAACCAGAAGCATTGCATCCAGGAAGCTCCAGCTCAGGCGATGAAACAGTTCTTCTGCATGAAGGTCCACCTGAATTGCAACCGAGTTGGAATAAGGGACAGTTTCCTGGTGTTATCCATTCATTGTCTACCTTCTACAAACCCTGTCTGATCTTTGGCTATTAATGGTGGAAGTAAACTGTTAAAAACGGTTTGCAAGTTCACAAGAGTAGCAAAGGGGTCGGTATAACACCGGAGTAGTCCTTAGAAAATATATGTAATGATAAGAAGGAAAAATATACGGAAAGTGATAGTTTAGTATGGTAAGAAAGATGTACACTTACACGTTTGAGGAGCTTCAATTCAGCTCCAACTTTAGCAGTTGGGTGGAATGATCCCTGCCTTGGGATATAGTGTAGCACCGCATGTAGTCCTTATAATGATGGATGTTCTCAAGGATATATAAAAGTAGAACAGATATGTAATATTTCACACTTTAATTGCTAAAAGTAATTTGGTGTAAAATTGTACACTCACATATTACGAAGCCTCTTTTATTGTCAACTGCTCAGACACTATAAGGACTATTAAGGTGCTACACCAACCCTCATTATTTGACTTTACCGGACAAGAGAGACATCAGATTTGGGTGTTAGGCTGCCTCATTGAACTATACCAGTACCCACAAGTGCTGCATTCCCTCTTCTTTTAAATTCACAATAAGTGGCCAGTAACATGTCAGAGGGTAAGGTCTCCTTTGTAGCAGCTGCGTAAAATACCTTGAGATAGTATGTCCAATTATTTTGGTGAGTTTCTTATAATATAGATTAGAACAGCCTTGCGGGCCAGGGGATTTCCCTCTGGGCGATTGTTAAATGACTTGCAGAAGTTCCTCCAAAGTGATGGGAGATCAGAGGTCAAATTGTTGTTGGTAAGATAAGCTTGGCAGAACTAGTTTATATAACTAATTGGAAATCTCTGTTGCAGTCGATTGTGTTACTGTCCCTCAAATTATACAGTTGGGAGTAAAAGGTAGAAAGTTCCTGAGCATTTTTTGTGGGTCAATATACTTGGTTTAAATTTTGCTCATAATTCATAACTAGCCCCCAGCACAAAAGTGAACATATCTTCTGCATGTACTACAATTCTAGCACACTCATACCACTTGCAATCAATGAAGTAGTCATGGTAATTAGAATGACCTTTTAAAGGGGGACTATAGGCAACCAGACCATTTCATCTCATTGAAACACATGGCATAAATAGTGCTATTACCACTGCGTTTAATGTCTTGGAATGCCTATACTCTTTGTATATGGGCCCCAATTTTTAAAATAATTTCCACTCCTTAAGATACATTGGAAATGAGCTTGTCTTCATAAGCTTTACCTCCTGTAATATACAATTTTAATCTAATCTGGCTGAGCATTTTGGGAAATGTAGTTCAAAAAAATCTGGGAAGTTAGAGTGAGCCATCGATAACTTACGTTATGTGCTTATAGGTAAAAAGATTAACATACTGTCATTAGATTGTTACTTTGACCAATTATATACTGGAGCCATAATTATTTCCAGGTTGTGTTTAACAATACTTGGCTCGTTATTTGGCTTAACTCCGATAGAAAGCTGGGAACTCCATCACCGGCCTATCCTGCCAATTCAGCAATGACTCAAATCGCAGTCTGCCATTTTTTTTTCTTTTAATTTAACTGAGCATCGTTACTGAGTAAATTATGGAAAGCCAATTTTCTAAGAGCCTATAATGTCGCAATTTGTGTGCCTTACTCTTCGGAATAAATACGTGGAGACATGTTAAATCCAGAGTGTGATTTGTTACATTGTTTTATGGCCGTGCTGAGGTGGCTTTGAGAACCAGAGTAGAAGAGGTTTAATGTTTCTATACACCGCATCTATACGTCTTTAATGTACAGTAATAAACCTTGATGTTATTTACTCAGTTATGGACACTGGGAAGGAGTATATCAACTAATATAAGGTTTATACAGTCGTATTAGTCAATGCACCATTTAAAGCATTTTATAAACTGCCTCCCTTGCATTTATTAAAATAAATCTCTATTTAAATTAAATACAAATCAAAACATCACAAGGTCTGACAGTAAAACAAATGAGGCTTTTATCAGTAGAAAATAAAAACCAGGTAGAAAGAAAAAGAAAAGAAGTTCACAAGGAATGACATCATATGGGGGAATGAATGACCTCATAAGGGGCGAGTCTCCGTTTATGTTGATCGGTTTTAAAACGAATGCAGTTTTTTTTTCCCCTATGCACTATGGAATGATGGGAGCTCGTTAACAAATCACACCTTCTGATTGGCTACAGACAAAGTGAACGCTGAAATATGGGATGTGTATTGCTTTAAAGAAATTTACACATGTTCTGTAAAAAATTTGGGGGAAGTAATGATAAAGAAATAAAAATCACTTTTTAGATCACTATAATACGTGGGATAAAAAGGATGATTGAACATTCATTTATCAGCAACACTTTCATATATCTCCTTAGAAAATCTGTAAGTGAGTATAAAGTGCAGCTAGTTTGTAACAGTCAAGCAAAGTGATGGCAGACTGTTGGTTATAAATTGGCTATTTTAATCTGAATTTTATCATGCAGATTTTAATTCACTTCAGTTTGGTGTTTAATGAGAAACCTTGTTGGTTGAATCCATAACATTTCAGTTGTTATTCAGGGACTATTGGCTCCCTTAGAGCAGTGCTCCTCAACCCTCTCCTCACGACACACCTCACAGTCCTGGAGTAAGGGATTACCTGGGTGTGTTTAAGATGTTTTTAAAAAGCTAAACACCTTAGACCCTAAGGTGTTTTTATTTTCTCTTTTTTCTAAAAATCTTAGACACTTCCCTAAATCTTGGACTGTTAGGTGTGCCTTGAGTAGCGGGTTGAGCAGCACTGCCTTACAGCACTGCAATCACTGTCCTCCCCGTTTTCTCAGTAAAATATCCGTAAAATAATGATTACTCACCTCATTCCCACCGCCAGGGCTTCTCCCCTGCAGCCTCTAGGGTGACGTCACTCACAATCCCCTCCACTCTAATGCTTCTCATCGATTTTAAAAAACAATGCGCAGCCAAACGCTGCACTCCTCCAATCAAATCGGCAGCATTTTATTCTAGGTTTCACTCAAATCGGGAGAAGGAAGTGTCTCTAGCAGTCAGGCACTAGAGGTGGATTTAACGTTGCAATGAAAACATTGCCATATCTACAAAACATCAATGTTTTACACAGCAGGGTTAAAGGACCACTATTGTCACTTTCTTTAAACAGATTCCAAGCTAGGGAGCTGTTCAGAATTGTTCCTGGGTCTTCTGGAGACTTGTGTACAATGGAAGTTATTTAGAATGATCAGTTATGGGATGACTTCTAAAGTGGAGCTATCGGCATCAAAATTCCATTTGTTTTCATGGTGATTGCTGCATTTTTTTATACAAAACTGAATTTATAGTGAGAGGAAAAAATGCAGTCAGAATAAATTTTTGTGCAGCCTCCAGATATAAACTATAAAAATTACACAGTCACTAGTAATGTCCCGAACGGTTCGCCGCAGACTCAACATTGAATAAACTTTGACCCTGTACCTCACAGGCGGCAGTCACATTCCAACCAATCAGCAGCAGACCCTCCCACCTCCTGGACAGCTCACTAAGAATGCAGCTTCAAAATGGATGCTGTCCAGGAGGTGGGAGGGTATGGGAGGGAGGGTCTGCTGCTGATTGGCTGGAATGTGTCTGCTGACTGTGAAGTACAGGGTTAAAGTTTACTCAATGATGAGTCCGTGGCGAACCGTTCGGGACATCACTAACAGTCACCTTTCACTCATGCCAGTGAATACCATGGAAGCTTATACTAAGTCAAGATGGCGGCAGAGTCAGTAGGAAACATGCTGACTGTTTCGAGACGCCCTCCGGACGTACACTGCACTATATGCGATTTAAATAATTGTAAGTGCAAATTTTTACAAATATTTTCTGTTAAAGGTGAATGGTCACTTCCAAAGATTTATTACTTAATCTTTATTTGTGAGGTGTGAAATAAAATTTTATTTAAAAATCCAGATGATCTTACACAAGTCTCGGATGATTATTCAATGGTTTAAATTGCAAGAATGAGAATTCCACTTTAAACATACGTACATATACAAGATACTTCTCCATTGCAGTGACAAATCTTGGAACCCCCTGGGCGCTGGCTGCAGGACTGTGGATGATGGAAATTGGATGTCACGGATCCTGGTTTAGCTGAAGGTCATAATGTAAATGTAGCCACTATCATAAATATTTGGTAATTACAAGCACAGACGTCTGAACCCTGTAAATTCGGTATATTTCACTCTTAAAAGTTAACAATTGTCATAAAATTTATAAATATTGTATTCCTAGCCTTTTCTGAAAGCACAGAAAATTGCATTTACTCACAAATATCCCACATTCTTACATTTTAAGAAAATTAAACTTTTTTTTTTAAATACACAACAACAACAAACTTTTGACTGGAATAGAGAAAATGTTTTATTTAAAAATAATAAAATAAAATATATATATTTAAAAAAGAAAAAAAAATCACTGCTGCTCAAATAAAGAAACAACAAACTGGAAATATCTGTATTTTATTTAAAAAAATTTTTTTCACCTCTATTATGCTTGTTATACAAAGGGGATATTTAGAATATATATTTAAAAAATTATTTTTTTTAATTACAAAAATATCAGTTATATCATTAACTCCTCTTAATTTCATTTATAGGATTAAAAAAAAAAAAACATCATCTCCGTATAGTCATGGTACAGACTCAATTTAATGATCAAGACACAGTTTTTTTAATAGTAAACAAACATTACAAAAAAAATATAAGTTTTAATTTTTCATGCACTCATCCTAGATAGAAATATTGGGGGATAAAACTATTTAGATACTATAAGGTAATCCTTATCTTACAAAGATTTAATATACAGTATTAGCACAGACTTATTATATATGTCACATAAAAATAGTGAAATGTTTTGTAAAAAACTTACAGCCAAGATTTTCAGAAAATGCCACTGGGATGTTATAGCGTGTCTGTGTATGGTGGTAATACCCACATACACTCAAACCAAGCATCTGTCCCATACAGTGCATTGCAGGCTATTATTGTTATTAGTTAGCTAAAACAGTAGTCCTGGAGTCGGCCTGAAAGTCACCCCTTTACGGTGCGTGAGGTAAGTGGCACTTAACGGAGTAATTGTTTCAATGCTGTCCAAATCACATATTCAGAGAGAACAGGCTAGATTGTGATAATATTTAAAATGCCAACGTATAATATTAATTGGAGTAGCAATGCGTAAACTGGCAGCAAGCTATAGGGCAGGGATGCCCAACAGGTAGATCCCCAGATGTTTTAAAGCTACAGCTTCCATGATGCTTTGTCATTCTCAAGTCATGCAAATCATCATGGGAGTTGTAGTTCTACAACATCTGGGGATCTACATTTTGGGCACTCCTGATTTAGGGAGATTTAGTAATGGGTGTAAATGTAAACTAGCTCTGTATACTGAGCAACGAAGGACAACATTCCTGAGGTGGACACATAACAGCTCATTAAATGTTGCAATAAACGCATGCAACAGAAGGAGAGACACTAGAATCTAATTAAATGGACATTAAAGTCATGAGAACAACTACAGCTTGTGTATTTGTTCTGGCGAATATAATTTTTTTTTTCAGTGAACACTGTCTTTTCAGAGAAAATGCAGTGTTTACATTACAGCCTAAAATGCATCCAAACATTCAGTATCTCCTCCCTCTGCATGCAGACACTGAACTTTCCTCATAGAGATTCATTGATTCAATTCATCTCTATGAGGAGATGCTGATTGGCCAGGGCTGTGTTTGAATTGTGCTGGCTCTGCCCCGATCTGCCTCCTTAACAGTCTTGGCCAATCCAAGTGGCCCTAAGTAAAATCATTGTGATTGGCTCAGAACAACATTCTGATGATGCCAGCTAAGCAGGCAGATCCAGCAGCAGTTCCTGCTGTATATCTTTACTATTTTGTAACATTTATTGAGCTGCTTTGGAATCTTGGTCCAGCAGTCCTTCCTTGCTCAGCATACAGAACTAGATTACATTTACACACATTACTAAATCTCTCAGACATGGTTACTTCCATTTATGTTATCTGCTGCAGTTTATATATGATCACATTAGCGTTTCACCTTTTTAAAAATGTCTAAATAAAAAATAATTAAACTTTTATGTACACTTTATTTACATTTAAAAGGCTATTCCTGTAGTGGTGTTCCCTCTATTTGGGGTACACTTTTGAGATTATATATATATATATATATATAAAATTTTGTTTTGTTTATTTTAAAGTCTAACCGCATGTAGACCTTGACTAATGGTCGAATAGGGTCCTATGCTAGATTTTGAAGACATTAAAAGGAACACATAAGACACCACTTCTTTTTGAAGTTATCGTGCCTGTAGTCCAACTCCCAAACCCTTTATTTCACTAATTAGAAAGTGTGGTAGTGTGGCTTCAAGCCTCACCTCTAAACCTTCTGGGTATGAGAGCACAGAATCTTACTTCCTAGCTCATACCATAATGTCATGAGTGCATGCACAGTGTCGTTACGGTTTGCCATAGAAACTCATTGAATCGCACATCATGGCGCTCTATGAGGACTATTGGATTGGCCCGTCATCCTGGAAACAAGCTTATTGTGCTTCCCAGACAGACTTAAAGACTTCTGGGGATTGACTGGACTCATTTTACACCTCGAGGGCCTGACTGAGAGATGCCTTGGATCAAGTGGTCCGGTCGATATTTAAGCGGGTATCGCCTGGTCCCCTGACCAAGGAAGGACCAGAGAACACCGGGGGCTTGAGTGCTCCCTTTCAAACCCCTTTTTGGAAACCGAGACTAAGCCACCACACACCTGGAAGTCGTTGCCATATCAGAGAATAGCCGCAACAATTTAACACTTTGTATCTCAGAAGACGATTCTCCGATCAGGACGCTACTTGGGAAGTGAGGGCACTCTGTAATAAGCATTCCAGGGAGAGATATTGATTATATATACACACACATAGTGTGGTGGCATGGTCAAAGGAAAGTGGGTCTTGGTGGACATTTTGTACTATGTTCCTCGAAGACTGTGAGGGTATAGCAGAGAAATGATTGTTAGCCTGGGGATAATGTAATTAAGTCCCCAGACAGAATAGCACCAGACAGATTAGCACCAGACAAGTGTACAGTATATTGTATTGTATGAAAGACCCCCTGCAAGAGAGTCAATATAGAAAGAGCTGTGTGCATGCAAAAAAGATTGCATTAGGACTTGTCTAATTTGTGGGGGAAAAGTTATAGTAAAGCTATAATCACTACTCTACAGGAGAGAGTGTCTTCAGTGCTATATTTATTGCATCCTGGTCCGGTGGAAGAGGTACTCAGAGACCCCAGTCAAGCTTCTGCGACTGTGGCTGAAAGCATTCCAGGGACCCTGATAGCAGCTAGGGAGCAGACCTTGCGGAGGTACTCATTTGGAGTGCGGGGGTGGGCACATGCATACACTCCTCTCCCAGACTTCAGGGAAATTAACACTTGACATTTTGGGACAGCTTTAAATAAAAGTAAATTGTTTCTGCTCCTGAGATCCTGATGAAAGGTTTGCTTAGAAAGTGAAATGTTGACATTTTCAACAGATTTAAATAAAAGTTCAAGTTTTAAATTTGACAAAATCCTGAAGTTTTGATTTTTTTTATATTCTGCTAGATAAGCATAGGCGTCATTCTTTTTGACCCTAGAGTGCAGATCCACAATATCTTTATATATTATATAATAGTAAATATATGGTCCCCTCTTCCCCTTGATTTTATAGCTCTGGTAGAAGCGGCCATTCAAGCAATGATAAAGAACCCTCCGCATTTTATGGCAGTTCTAATTTCTCTATAATAAGAACTGAAAGAGTTAATTATGAGGACAGACAGCCCAGTAAATCCCTGCTAATTTTTTCATGGTTTGGGGGAATTTTTGACATTCTGGATATTTACCAAGAGATTTCTCAGTGCTTTCAAGAGAATTCTTTACCTAGTGCGATGCCAATTTTAATATATTCTCAGCATTTGTCGGACAGCTATCGCCTCACTTAACGTGAGAATATACAACCAGTGCATAACCATAAAGGCAGATTTAAACCAGTTGGAGCATCTACAGGTCTCTTAGGATTCAAGAGCTTCACCTGTTGGTTCCAATGACATGACTGAAGCTGGATCACATAGAGGATAGATTGGGAATTTATATGTTAGAGGCAGACTCCTCGTGATTTTCCGAGGTTTATTTCTAAAGTCTACCGTCTTTCGGCACAAAGGAGGTATGGATATGGCTGCAGGGTCATTCCCAATTTTGGTTTCAGATTTGGTACATAGCCGTGTGGAAAACGTAAGTGAAATCGCTGCAGCAGTGAGGTAAAAAAGAGGTACATCTCCATCCTGGCTAACTGCTCCCCGAGGCAATGTCTTCTACCTAATAAAAAAAAAAAAAGAAAAAAGAACACAATAGAACCATCACTGATTTCCGCCACATCCTTAACATTAATCATCCCTAATCAATGGAAGGTCAATGATGTACAATAGCATAATTACAGCTACAGATCGGTTTAGAGCAACTTGGGGTGAACTATAGTCCTACAGTTATTACTGGATAAAACTACAATTCTTAAAAAAAAAAATTAAATTAAAAAAAGTGTTACAATAAATAAAGTGCATGCAAGAAGCAAATAGATTAGGTCAATAGAATTCGGTGAATGTTAGGGCTTAGTAAGGTTTTTATTTATCCCCCATAGAAAAGCAAGTGTGCGCAGCAAAACGCAGCGATGCGCCAATAAACGCTCTCTAAGAAAGTCATATGAGCTATAACAGAGAGTTTTACTCAGTTACAATTGTGGAAGCGCCTCTAGTGGTGATAACCCTGCAAAGCAGCAATGTTTATAGTTGCAGAGTTAAACAGACAGGGACATGCCCCCCCCCCCCAGACCATATAGAGATGAAGTGGTTGTGGTTCTTTTAAAGTGAAACTATTACTCCAGGTTCAATATTAGCAGTAACAGCATTCAATACATAATGTATGACAGCTCGATTACTGGTTTCAGGAGTTGTTATAACATTACCTGCCAACACTCCTAATCATTTCGATTATAAAATAAGGACAAAAAAAAAAAAATAACTAGAAAAGCTACAATTTCTGGGGAAATTGTGTGACGTGTTCTTGCCTCCACCAGTAGTCTACAACTGGAATGGGCGGAGTAACTGTTATTATTTCTTTATATAGCACATTTAATTGCAACATTGTTGCCCAAAGTGCTTCACAGTTACATTAAAACAT